TGCGCAACTTTCTTATTTGGTGCGTACATGCGTGCGTCCGTGCACGGCATGCTATCAACGGGCATTTGTGACGCTCTCTAAATGTCTGTGTACCGCATTCCAGCAAAGCTTTATTTATGTTGGCTTTGTCTAAAACATTGCATAACCGTGGTCACGACGTGCCGAGAGAAGGAGCGAGTTCGCAGCGACCTTACATCGACAAAGACAGACTTTGATTTTACACCCCTTGGTTACATTCCAGGATATGGGGCGTTAGCTTACCTCGCGATCCCTGAATCGGTTACTGCTTGTGTTATCTTTCCGACTTTCTTTGGGGGGGGGGGGAGGGGCAATCTTTTTGTGAACAAAGCAAACTTTTATTTTGTTCTCTTCGTCGTTTTCTTTCTGCACGGATACATCACGACTTCGGGGTCGCTCGTGGAGGAAATGCGTAAACAAAGAGCAGTGTCTTTCTCTCCTTCGTTTTACCTTGTCACGGACGTCCTCCGACTGTAACGTCCTTGGCCGCATCATTTGGGTAGTATGAGTGTTCGTGGATCGCAGAGTCGCGTTGGGGTATTTGTAGGGGTGGGCAATGACTCTGTGTTTTTTTGGAAATTGATATTGGCCCAGAAATGTTGTGGGCGATGACTCGGGGATGGGCGATGACTCGGAAATGTGCCAGGTATGTATGCTAAGCTGCGAAACCTTATTTTCCACAGCTATGTGGGATTGTCAGGGTGGCAACAATTAAATTCCTCGTCTCAAAACTTAAGCCAGGAAGGGGCGAAGTCCTCTCTCACCATTGACAACTGAAGCAAGTTTCTACGCCGAAAAGGAACGCGAACCAAGCCACTTTGATCGCAGCACTACCACGCCAACTTTCTGCATGCTGAGCTTCAACCAAAAGCATGAGGGGGAGTCTGTGACTCACCCACTCAATCATTTCTAGTACACTCTAGTTTGAACCAACCTTTATGATGGACCAATTCCGCAGTCAATCCAGCACTGCGAACCTATCACGTGACTATGTTACCCTTGCGTCGCTGCACCCCTCCCAAAGATCATGTGACATTTACATAGCACGAGATTCGCTCCGATGGCTCGTAGCGGTCACTGCGGTCCGCTGGATAGTGAAAGGGCTGCTACCAATCTGTACAAACTGTCTGAAGTCTTCAGATCCGTCCAAGACCTAATCCTCTGAAGCTATTATGCAGTGTTGTACACAGCTCGTTCCATTTTTCATTTGACCGATTTATGCAGCATAATACGTCCCCTCGTTGAACACATCAAAATTAGTTTGTGAATTTATGTACGGTAGGTAGGAAAATTGTGAGCCATTCCACTCTTTGAAGGCAGTTGGCCAGCGAAGCTGTGGAGCACCACCATAAATGGTTCACCAAGAGACACACAAAAGCACTTCACCAAATATTTATTTATAGTATATATACATCATATTGAAACGATAGTGGTGATTGCTTTGTGATCACTACGATATACACTAAAAGGGTTCCATTACAACTTTGGTGAAATTCTTTGCTAAAGTTAAATCTACACATGACCGATGGCGCTCGGCACAGGCACGTTGCTCTTCGGGAGTCCTATCTACGTGGCCTTCTCATAGCAACCGCAGAACATAATGGGATGCCCTGCTCAAGCGGGAGGAGGCCCATTGTTGTCGGATGTATCTCTATTACCTCACGTTTCGTCATCTTTCCTTATCAAAATGCATATTGAGGTGACGGGGCGTATATGCATTTCCATACGATGGAGCGCTTTTACATGCAATTTGTTTTTGCACACAGATACCAAAAATGCATAGAATCATAGCCATATACAGCTTTGCTGTAAAAGATATGGGTGTGGGTACTACCATAAAATACCGGGCAAGCGCCCACTCAAACTTTGGAGATAATCGCAAAAAAATGGGGGATGGGCGCTTGTCCGGTCATCAATTTTACATATAAATGTACTGTGCATATTTTCTCAGATCTTACAAATTTGGTAATGGGCACTTAATGTGGAATGGGCAGATGCGCGGTATTCTACGGTATGTATATTTGGTCCTTGCTTGCTCACCTACTTTGTAAAAGAATATTGCTGCCAGCTCGCTACCAGTAGAGGGCATGCAAGTTTTTGAGGTCACCTTTATAGTTGGTGTTTGTTTCTTTGGTTTGCAATTTGAATTCTTGCTCTAATTGCATGCCCTCTGCTGTCTTGGCTGTTAAATGGCAGTTGGCACTATGTGAAGTTTAGTGAGCATGGAGAAAGTCTGGAAGCTTAAGAGGAAACTCAAATCTTCAGATGGTCAAAAATTGTGATATTTTAAGTTGTTTTTTTTCAATCTGATATATGTGTTGAATATAGTCCAAAGTACCTGCCTGTAAAGCAGGGCTAGGCAGTGTCACAATACAAATGTATTGTGAAAGTATCTGTATGTCTGTATCGAGATAATTTTAAAAATACATTTGTATCTCAGTAGTGAAATATATTTACAATTATTGCGTGTATCGCGATACTCTTCCAGGCTTAGGTATTTCTTTATGTTTGTTATCGGAAACTAACGGTCACATATTTACAATCGACTCAAAATCACGCTTTCGGCGCTAGGGTTTTTCGACTTTATAATATGAATCCACAATGTAACTCGCAGTAGGGATTGGGAAATCCTGGTTGCAGCTGTATATTGCAAACAGTCACCAAAACATCAAAAAAAAAAAAAGACAAGGTTGTTTGAGGAAAGGTCACTGAAAGAGTAGCAATGTATAACCTCCTCCTGCAAGGCCTTCCTATCTCTGTACTTTAGTTGAGTGAACGCTGGGAAGGACGCGAGTGGTGAGAAGGAAACCACTAATCGTAGACAGTAAAGGACTCGTGGAAGCGGCTTCTCTTCATCTTACGTTGCAACAGGTTCCATGCACACTAGGTTGAGCAGCACTGAGCGCAGGCAGGCCTGGTTCTATTCCTGGAAAAATGGGGTTAATTTTGGGCAGACTCCCTTTGTCAAACATGGCTTGATTCCAGTACCTACATGGTTCGCTGGGGTGATAATTTTTTTTCCGTTATTTGTTTTTTAAGCAGAATTTGGGATGGTATAGTCACTGACAGAATGAGAAGGGTGGGAACGCTCGACCTCCAGCACCCTTCTCACCCTGCCAGTTACTACAACTGTGGATATAGAAAGAGTTCAAAGTGGAGCTGCATTAACTGTCACAAAGAGAAGAAAACGAGCCCATATCGTTTACATTCACTGCGAACTGCACTTCTCCGCACCTACCGCCATTCGGGAAAAAATGTGTCTCTGTATGTGTCTCTGTTTTTGCAGAAGCAGCTCGGATATCAGGTTATGTAAAAGACAAATGTATCTTCGTTCTGTGTTTTGGCCTTAAAATATGTGTATTGCAGTATTTGTATTCCGGAATACTTTTTGGAGTACCTCTGCCCAGCCCTGCTGCAAAGTCTTGCCCGCCGATTCAATGTCAAAATGTGAATTAAAAAAAATAATTATGACGCCTCCGTGGGGCTTATATTGCGAGTTCAAAGCAAGAGCCAGGCAAACTCCACACCCGCTCATTGGGGTCGCCATCTTGGTCTTGTTAGAAAGCTGGTTCTCTTCCCTTCATTGCCGCAAACACCTCAGTAAACACCTTAATGTTTTAAAAAAAAAAGGGTGCCTTTTTCGCCGACATTCTGCGAAGAAGTGAAAGCGATAGCTATGGCACGTTCTTGCAACGAGCGCAAAATGGTGTCGTCGCTTGCCAGAGGATGGTATGTGACGACACCATTTTGCCCGCCTGCTACAACTATCGCTCTTACTCCGCACATTGATGGGAAAACCTGTGCCGATACGAGCGAAAGCGCAGGCTTTCCCGGTGGTGTTGAGTGGTGAAGTGAGGGTTAAGGCTCACGTGCGGCGATGGGTGGACAGGGGGACGCACACGGAGAAACGAGACAAAGCTCTGCGTGGAAGGCAGGTGTAAGACCACGAGTTTTGGCTGAACATATTAATGCGAAAGCATTATATGCACCATTAGGCAAAAATCCGGCGGCGGTGGAGCCTGACCGAGCAATGGTACCAAAAATGACTGACGCCGCAAAGAGTAAAAACATATAAAAAATGCTCGGATTGACGTCAAATTTCACAGAGAGGTTCCTGTAAACAAATTAAATTAATGGCTTTGAAAAGAAAATTTGGTGCATTCCGGTCTGGGTGGGAATCAAACCCGGGCCTCCGGATTGCGAGACGATCGAGCACGCTTCCCCGACGCCACGGCGGCTCCATGGTTCTGCCTGACAAAAGGTGTGCCTAGTGCGTGCATCATTTGCACACGTCATGTCGCAGCCATATGCTTGACTAAAGGCGTGGCAGCAAAATGGTCTGAATGTTTCCGGTCTGTGGCCAACGTATATGCAAACACACGCTGAATCAGCAGAAAGAACTTTAATGCATGTCGAAAACAGCAATCGAAAACATTTCACCAAAGGGACTATAATGCTTTCGCATTTCCACACATAAGCAATCTTAAGTGTATCTGCTGAATTTTTTTGTGTTTCGAGTTGCGTTCGAGAAGTAGAGATGCTATATGGAAAGCAGTTGCGATGGAAGTCTCTAAAACCCTCCAACATTACGCGTAGCAACTGGATACTGCCAAAGTGGGATTTCGTATGATGTGAATAATGTATTAAAACACCTGTTTTGAAGCTATTGTTGGCAGACGATAGGGAAAGACACTCCGCTGTCGCTTCCTCCTCGTCGCGCCGTTATTGGCAGGTCGTCGGGGCTTGTTTCTTCCCTCTTGGTGCTGTGCGGGCAATGGGGACACCCGACTTCTCTCTGCTTGCATCATAAGGGGAGAGAAGTGCTTTCGTCTTCGGAGCAGTGACGGACAACAAACGCCTATATCGTAATACCTGCGAAGTGTTACCGGTAAAGTAAAAGTTAGCCACGATGGTTTCTTACATTGAGTGCATGATCTCTCGTCTGCACGAGGTCTAATGAATGCTTTTCTCCTCTTTTGCAGGTCAGGATGAATGGTGAGTGCTGCATCTTGGAACCGAATATTCCCCATTTCGAGACATTTTTTGTTTGCTTATTGGGTCACAACCCAATATCTTCAATGTTTTCTAACTCCAACCTGCAAGGATGCTGAAAAGATTCATGTGAACTCAGGAATCGGTTCTCCGAACTAGCGGTCATCAAATCGAAGGTCATCAGTGAGATAGGTTAGTTCTGCGTCAAGCATTAAAATCTTGCAATGTTTGTCGCCCCACCATTTTGCGTCTACAGTAATGAGTAGAGTAGACGATGAAACTAGAAGTCCAGCTGAATTCTCAAAAAGAAATAGTAATGCAAAGTTGTCTCCTAAAGTGTGCATACCGAAATATCCCGAAAAGTGCCCCACCCCCAAAAAATAACCCACCCTCATTTTTGACACCATTTGCTATTTCTTCAAAAACACCGAAAGATAGCCCACTTCTAGCAATTGCAGAGCCCTGCATGATCAATGGTTACCTCGGCAGAAATGGCGTTACTTAGTCAGGACGGGAGATAAGCGAACATCGCTGACTGGAAAAGACAGTCGTCTTTGGTTCATCACCCCTCCCTGCAGCTGCAAGTTTCACAGGTCACAGAATCTAAAACTAGCATTTTTTCAACTTGTTTTTATCGCACACCCAAAGTTAGCTTACTTTTTATTTTCACCAGATTTGCTTTCGATATTAGGTGGTCTGGGGATATTGTGGTAAGTAATTTACTTTTTGTAAAGCGGCTTTGACCTTTAAAACACCATACGCTACCGCCGTCGTCAAAACAAAGAGCCAAAACCATGACAAAACTAACTTGTTTCAGGCTATAATTATAATGCAATTAAATGCAAAGGTGCAATCGAGCTGGACATGAATCGCGAAAATAAACCCTGGAGAAGGGGAACAAGAAAGACAAAGGACAAACATAAATTTCCAAACACAGCTAGGTGACTGGTGAGCGACCGAAAAAATCCGCCTGGTCCGGGTATCGAACCCGGGACCTCTCCATTACAGGTGGAGCGCTTTACCAACTGAGCTAACCAGGGGTTAGACGTCAGTAGAGCAAACGGGTTTTATCAGCCGCCACCAGACTAACACCAACAAGGGTGAAGCTTGCAAATTTTAAGGCTATAATTATAATGCAATTAAATGCAAAGGTGCAAGCGAGCTGGACATGAATGGCGAAATTTTCGCCGTTGTTTCAGGCTTTGCATTTCAGCAAACTTTTCAGTTTGTTCCTTCTCATCAACTACCACGTGGGTTCTCAAACATCTTACCTCGACGAACCCTTATCTCTCTCAACCGACGAGTGGGGAACCCTTTCTGGGGTCGGCATTGGCACAATAAACCGGCGCAGAAACTTACGGGCCCTCTATACAATAATTAGCATACTAGGGAGTGATTGGCTCATATTTACGTATCAGTCAGTGGCTCAGATCTGCTAAAGCACTGTTCAAACTTGAGAAGCACTTTACTCGGGGTGCCTGGAGCACGTCTCCAACCGGTGTGTTTAGCGTCCTCTTCTACCCATGCATCCAGAGCGAACTGGCAACAATCGACATCGGCCCGAGTGTCGCGCGGTCGGACGCCACGAGCCTGGCGGTTTGTCTTAGAAATGCTGCCGAAAAGCACAAGCAAGCGTTGCCGTTGTCCCAGCGTCCCAACTCCCTGCCGCCAAAGCTTCTGTGGACTGTCGAACGGGATAGCGACCCGCAGCAGAATAGGCGTTCGCTGCGTACACCGCTGCCACTGTGACACCGCCAGGGTCGTGGCCAGCAACAGCACGACGCTCGTATGACGTCCTCGGGCAGCAATGGACGCAGCACTTTTTTGGACGCGGTCAACACTGGTTAGAGATGCATACTTTGAAAGCTTGGGCAACCCTCGAGGGTGCTCTGCAAGACAACCAGGAGAGCCCCCTAGGAACCCTGTTTGAGAACCCATCATCTAGCATAACTTTAAATTCAAACTCCGAAATTTTATGCATTTAAGAAAGCTGCGCAATAAACATTTCTATCGGACGATATTTTTGCTCATAGTAGGACAGCGAAAAAAAAACTTGCCTTGTAATTGAAATTTGCGTGTCGTTTAAACGTCCGACTTCGCTGCTATCGAGAGGAAAATGTTAAACGTGGAGACTTCACCTGAGACTCGTGAACCTTTTGTCTGCCGTATGCAATTTTTAGGCACTCCGCGTTAAATTGCTACGCAATATTCGAACCGTGTTAGACCGTCGAGTGCTTTTGTTAAATGTGTCGTTTTATTCGCTCTGAGGAAATGCCTCGGTTAGTGTTAAATGTGCGATTATGTACTGTGTAAAAATGTTTCGCAAGTTTGCCTGGCTCTATGGACGAGCAGTCTTTGCTTTTGTGGGCCAGAACATTATAAATTTTTGCAAAAAACAAAATTGTTCTATTTTATTATTATTATCATCGTCCGTTTTCTTTCAGAACGGGCTCGCGGAGCCATCCACGAGGTTTCTCGCCTGAGCAGCAAGTGAGTGGGTGGCACTTCACCACCGGCCGGGCGACGCCACGACGAGCACTGCTGCGCAGGGTGCTGGAATCGGTGGTGGCAGAGGTGGTGGCCAACGTTGGCTGCCTCTACAAGCTGGCCGAGGTGGTCTCTAACGTGGACTTCCTGCACTCCCTCACTGAGGCCTGTACCTTGGAAGAGTATGGTGAGTGAAGTCACTTGCACAAGTGACAACTGCTGCAGAATGAGTGTTTATCGTTCGGCCCTGCTGCCTTTTTACATGAGCTGTACTGGGATTGTTGTACTGGGTGAGGGTTGTGTTGCCAAAGACGAACGAAGCATGCTTGCATTTATTGCAGGTGGCTTTGGCATTGGAAGAGGGTGTGTACAGCAGTGATATCCTCGCCCTTTCTCTGGTAATTGTCGCCGTTAAGGCGCAGCACGTTTGGCCAATCGCGATTATCCTGGGGGTCGTGTGATCACGCTCCTCGTCACCTGCTATTTCTCGCCTTCAGTCACCCATTCCCTCGGCGCTCTAAGTCTTTGCGCGCAAGAATAGGGCAGCCGAAGCATACGCCGGGACAAGCAGTGGCTGCTCGACGACTTAAACGCACCCCCGGGAGAGAACGTCGTCGATGGTTTCACCCTGGGCGTTAGGATGGAACGTATTCAACATCAAGATCATGCTGTGCTGTACATAGAAGAGAATGTTACCAAGTGCAGAATGGACATGCTGGTGCGACCAAGCAATTTGTGCAGCGCGCCCGCGAGAAAATGTTTGGTCCTTGCTGTTCTGTGTGTGATCGGTTGTGGTTTACACGAGACACTGCGCGACACAACATCACTGGAATTTTCAGTCAGTCATGACGCAATATCATTGAAATGTCGTACCAGCTGACGCTGTTCATTCGCATCATGTCGCGTTATCGTCTGCTCAGTTTGTTATCCGCCCAGTTTGTTAGTAAACCATCCAAATGGATCAGCGTTTACAGCCCACACTTAGAATTGTTTGCTCCGAAGGTGCAATTGGTTTGTAAGTGTGGGCGGCAAGTGAATTCCTGGCCAACACCCACATTGACACTGAAGTAACTTGCATGAGCAACAACTGGAGTAGGCTGAGGTTTATTGTAGAGCTGTGCCCCTTTTTTTGTTAGCCCCGTTTGTTAGTGAACAAAGCCAAGAACAGAGTTAATGATAGAAAAGAAAAAGCAGATTAGAGTGTGTGGTTGCACAGTCATCGTCTGTCCCATCTGTGAGGAACAAGAGGTCACTGTTGCCAGTAGTTTCTTGATGCCCAAGGTCGGGGGTGTTCTGTTAAACTTCAGCATATCACCAATTCTTAACCTTTGATGGTTGTCACCTTGCGTGTACGTTGACAACTACACATTTGAAGGTGCCCGCCTAAACATGAAACCGTGCTCACTGCAGCTATTAAAGTGGTAGCTTTATAGGGCCGACCAACCTCAGGAGCCGCATAAGCACAAAATGTGTAGGTAGGTCAGTATGTGACCGCTAAACAGTCTTGAAAATAACGGTAATTGGTGCCAGGGATCGAACCCCGGTCACCGGCTTGGAAGCCGAGTGCACTTCTGACTGAGCTAGGGACCCAGCATGCAGGAACAAGAGGAGCAGAAGCAAGTGGTATGAGGAAGCGCGCAGAGCGAGGAGGAGTGAAAAGGGCAGGAAAGCATGCTTCCCCTCTCTTGGTAACCCGGAAAATTCAGCGCAAAGGTTTTCTATCCGGGTGGCGCTGAAGGGAAGTGTGCGCAGTATCACGAAGAGACAATGGTGTGATGTAATCTGTTTCCATACAATACCTTGCCTTAGGTGCCACCTGAACTAAGAGAACCACCCACCCCAGGCACCTGAAGACTAAGGGTCATCCTGCCTTAGGCACCGCCCGAACTAAGAGCACGACCCACCCCATAAAGCTACCGCATTTAAACGTGTTTGACAGAATGACCAAACATATGATTCTAATTTTTTGTTATGTTTTTGGCAAACGATAAACGTTATATTTGCACGGTGTTTCACTTTGCTGGGGCTGTTTATAGTTGTGAAATTAGATGGTTTGCGCACGTGGCACGTGTTAGATGGTCGCTTCGCATGTCAGCTGCTCTGGCTGTAGTGGCAATTGAAGTGCCAGCTTTTTCGATTCAGACTTTGAACGCTTCTCAGAATTTAATTTAGAGAATGACAGCTTACCCTCCGATGTAGAAGCTCTCTAAAGTACCTCCGATTCGGAATCTGAAGCCGCTGGAATGTTGTGGATGTGCCAAAATAAAACCGAATGAAAGAAAGTTGACAACCTCTTGCCTTCAATATTTTCGTTTGATGCTTCTGAACATCAACAGCTTGCAAGCACTGTACGTGCTGATGCTAGGTAATTAAGAAGAAACCTGCATGTTGACCCCTTTACTATACTATTCCTGTAAATTTTTTTTTGTGACACCCTGTGTATAAGTGTGCCAGCCAAAAGTTTAGGTGACATAGCAAATATTGGGTCAACAAAATAAATCTGGGCAACGTTCAGCCGTAATGTCGTCTCTCAGAAGACGACCCCCCCCCCCCCCCCCCCAAGCCTGACCCATAAATCTGCCCCTGATTTATATAACAGTTCAAATGCATCTTACTTGTACATTTGGACAGAAATTATTTCTTTACCGTGTGATTGTACTTCTAGGATGCTGCAGCAAATGGCATTGCCCGTACTCTTACCACGATACTCTCCAGGCTGCTTCTTGCTCGGAGGGCCTTGTCGTTCTCGGTGTCTCATGCGTGCCAACAAACTCGAGACGTGTGTTTCTGGTGATGCTGTCTTCAGTGCCATCCATCCAGGCCGTCTCTCGAAATTTTGAAAAACACGTAAAGCGTTCGTGAACACTCACAATGCTGTTTCTTGGTGTGACAAATATTACGCTCTCATAGATAAATGATTAATTTTGTTTTTCTGGTTTACCTTTTGATCCAGGTACAGTCCAGCCAGGTTATATCACACCCAAGTATTTCGAATTATTGTTTATATCGAACATTCCATACATCCCCTTGAAAATCACATGTAATTATATAGGAGCGTTGTTTTTCTGTATCGAACTCCCATGGAAAGGACACTGGATATAGCGAACAAAGCATGGCGGCCGGTCGCTTCTCCCGCGGTCAGATTGCGCCCGTGGCGAGCACATAGCTCGCGTTGCGGGGCTGGCAGACCGCCAAGCCAGCATACGTGCAGGGGGATACGCAGCGAAAGAACGGTTGAAAGTAAGAAAAGAGCAACCATAAAAAAAAAGAGAAAAAAAAAGTAGAGGATGGCAAAAGCAAGGGGAAGGGCACGCGCGCGCGTAGGGAGGGCAGGAAGTGCCCGCTGTTGGAATGGTAGCGTGCGCTCTTTCCCTGAACACCGCTGTCGCTGCGCGACTCCTTAACTCCAAAATAAAATAAGCAAAAAAAAAAAAAAGTTGTCAAGTCGATTGTGCCCACAGCAACCGCCTTATCTTTGTTTACCGTAGAATACCGTGCATCCGCCCATTCCACATTAAGCGCCTATTACCAAATTTGTGAGATCTGAGAAAATATGCACAGTACATTTATATGTAAAATTGATTACCGGACAAACGCCCATCCCCCATTTTTTTGCGATTATCTCCAAAGTTTGAGTGGGCGCTTCCCGGTATTTTACGGTACCTTTTTCTTTTGCTGTTTTTGCTTTGTGCGTTTTTTTTTTTTTTTTCTCTTTTTTTTTGCCTTTCTTTTCTTGTTGCCTGAATTTAGTGAGGTTTCTTTTTTGTTGCTTGCTTAAAGGAGCTGTGCAACGATTTCAACGTTGAAAGAATTGGCATCTTCTACTTTGGACATTGTTTATCTTGACACAAAGTGCAGAAATCACTTCTCCTTCCTTCAGAATGTTGCGATTCCGCCGCGTAATTGCGAGGCGAAAATTTGAACATTCCCCGACCTGCACCCGCAGGCGGCGGCCATGAGAACCATGTGGCATGATGTCAATGGGAGTCTTGTAGAAATATAGCAAATTGTGCGAATACCTGCTCGAGAAAAGGTAACTTTTCTATAAATCTTGTCGTTCCAACATAAATATAAATGCTTCAAAAACCTGGTGTCATCGACAAAACTTTTATTATATGGAGTTTTAGTAGCACAATCTATCCTAGGTCCACAAAACCATCAGCTCTATCTGCTACCGCGAACAGCCTCCAGAAGCTGGAGGGGGAGGGGGGCAAAGCCGGACGGGTATGGTCGGACCTGGACGAGACTTTCCTCCTTTCACTATATTGTTCGCGCTGTGCCCGCCAGCACGTGGTCACGCGGTCGCGAGCGGATGAGTTCTCGCTGCTCACTGATGGCTCTAGAGAGAGAGCTTCACCGGAACCCCGCGCAACCCCCATTGAAGTCACAGCATGCGTGACTCGGAAGATGGTGAAGAAGTTGAGAGGTGCCGAAAACCTCAATCTTTGTCCATTTTTAAACTAAAAACTAGGACATGTAGGCAAAAGCAGTTTTTTGTTCTTTACTGCAGTAAGGTCGGGACACCGACTCCAAAATTATTTAAGCAAAGCACTGAATTTGTTGCACAGCTCCTTTAACTTTATTTTGTGGATCGAAAGTTTTTTTTTACTTTTTTATGCAACTCGTTTTTTTTTTTTTTTTTTTAATTATTTTGTGTGTTTTGTTGTTGGCGTTGTGTGGCTTTGCTTAAACGATCGCAAACACCGTCACGCAAACACGGTGGCATTTGTGATCATCACCAAGTAAGCTCTACTGTATTTAGCGACTCTTAGAGGCTCTATTTGGTAAGGTCCTGTCTGTCGCGGCCTTCGGTATTAGCAGAGACGCGTGGAAATTTCAACTGGGAGCTAAAGTAACATATTTTTGTATATCAAATTATCGATATTTCAAACTATTTTATGGTCCCCTTTGAATTTGATATATCCGGGTTCGACTGTAATGTCATGTTCTCAAACTTCCACATTTTACCACCATTGCTAGCGTCGCATTCACATGAAGTTTCAGTTTTGTGCAATGCATGGTTAATTTATGTGAACCGAAAAAGAGAGTTTCATTTTCTCTATCAAACTTTATACTGTACAACCTCGTTAATTGGAAGTAGGTGGGACTGTAGCAAATAGTCAAATTTAGGGTATTTTCAAATTATTTGGAAGCAAAAAAAAATTGGGAAAATTGTGCACGAATCGTCTTCGTGCAAGTTGGAATGACTTGCTTTATTAAAAACGAGAGGCATTTACACAAAGTAATCGCTGATGTGGGATTGTCACTTTCTGTAGTTAACGGTACTCCAGGTTATGTATTCAAGGAGGCCAACCAGGCGTAGCATCCCAAAATTACCACCATTGCACTCCGCTAAGCTGGGGTAAGCTGGGAATGAAACACATCAATTGAATAAAGGCATATGGTTCACACTTTTCCATTTGATTGCGATCGACTGCTTTTCAACTGCTTCTAACCACTTGCAAAACTGGCGCATTGGTGAGTGTGCGCAGCACCTCTACCCGTATTCTGAGCATTGCTTCTCGGTGGCTCAGGTAATTTGGTGCAAGATGTGTTACGAGACTCTTCTACCTTTCTTTGCCAACGTAATCACTTGCTTTTGACAGAAGGAGACCGGATTTAAACTAGTGATTTCGAGAAACCAGCGAGCATGGCACGAGCGTACCTAATGGCAAAAAATGGTTTCCCCAAGGTCTTAATTGCTTATGTTTCTTCACATAGTTCAGCACATAGGCCAAGATCATATAATTTTGTGCAAATAGAGAATATTATCACCTTCCTATAGCACGAATGCCCCTGTTTCTGAATGACTGCTTTATAGGGAAAGGTTGGGTTTCTGGACTTCTGCAATTACTGAGGGAAATAAGTGTGAGCACTATGCAATCCAAGCTGCTTGCTCTGTTGGCAGTACGCCCAGAGTTCACGGACACCTTGTGCATCACTGCGGGCCACCACCCTATTCTGGACAGTGTGGGCAAGGAGACCTCTGTGCCCAATGATACGGTGAGCCAAGGCACCACCTACCGTGGCTGGATGCTCACTGCGGCGTTTCCTTTGGGCAGTTCATGCATTCTTACAGCAACTGCTGCATCATCACCGGACCTAACATGGTACGTGGCCACTCTAAACTAGCCGCATCAATTCCGGGAAGACCCGTGCGCTTAAATTTTGAAGCCGTCACGCTGTGGCTGAGCGCTGGCTTTAATTGGACAAAAGTGTTGTGTCAGCATTCGGCTGGAACTCACGTTCAATTAATCCAATTTCTGAGTAAGCGCTGTCTTTGTGTTGCGTCATTTTATAAAGAGGAGCATGCAAACGGGCTTTGATTAGTCGAGGGTGTTGCCTCAACCCCTCGACCTAAGGGAGGCACTAGCCTTATATGTCATTGTGTGTTGGCACTAGAAACTTATTCCAGTGGGGAAGTCGGAAATTATCGGGAAAATTGACCAAAAGTCTGGCAAGCACATCTGTCGCGAACCTTCTGAGGTTCAAATTGGGAGATTGTGTAACTTCTTATCCTCAGGGTAGTTGAGGTTCCTGAAATGTGTGTAGATATTGATGTTGATTGTGCTTGTTGCCTGAGGTGGCTAACAGGGTGACGGCTTACTGATGGCGTCATGTGGGTCTGCAGCTACGCATACTCGGCATGAACATGAAAATATAAAGTAGGAATAACACCGTCACAAAGATTCCGGAGCTTGTCAAGATTTGAATTCATGAAGTTCACAGCTTTCAAGAGCTTTGAGGATTCGAGTTTGACTGCTTCGAACTACTTCCACTCTTAATTCTCAGAATTTACTTCATGTCCAAGTTTACAAAGTTTGATATTTTCTAACCTAATGGACGTTTTAGTTAAGTAGCTTCAAATGTTCTTGGCCCACCCTGAACTCAAGAATCAAATTTCAAATCTTGAAAAGGGCCTACGCGATTCAGCAATTTTACTGGAAGCGTTTCTTATAAAATGATTTCTGAAAAAGAGTGCCAAATTTATCAGTGGGGAAATGAGGGTACAGCGAGTATAACAGCTATCCGTTTGCTTCCATTTCACTGATGTTTTTCTTGTTTGAAAATGCAGGATCTTGGGCAATAATAGCAATCCATGTTTTTGAGGCTGCAAAAATGTACTACTTATTGCTGAATGCTTAGACGTTGCCAAAACTTAAAAGGGAGCTCCGCCGATTTTGTTATAGTCTTCGATTTGACTGAAAATTTGCAGACCGCATCACCAACCCTTTCTCAACTAATAGCCAAAATATGTGATAAAAATAAAACTTTCCCCCAAAGGTATTGAATATTTAAGTTACGCCCCGTAAGCTTTCCAGGAGGCGACTCTCTACTGGCAACAATGAAAAGTTCCTACTTTTCCCTATCTGTGTACGTCACCAGCGGGCCAGCGGACGAGCGACCCAGGCAGCCACAAAGCGGCTTTCTGGGTGCCAGCGATCGACATTATTTTTTCACAGTTTCAAGGTTAAAAGTTCTTTGCAGTGGGTAGCAATCTTTGCAGTGGGTAGCAAAACGCTCCCGGGCAGGAATGGGGGCCAGCCACTTCAGAGTGTTTTTGCACGAACTGTGTGCAGAGAGAACTATTGTGTCGCATGGAACATTCTCGCTTATGCTCGTAATAGATTAAAGATTTACGGGCTTGAACACGTGGCTACATACTTTATAGCCGCGTGCTGCGAGTTCAGTATGCTTCTGCGGCTGGAGAACAGCTTCAAGAGCAGCGAGCACTGACTCAAGCCGGCTGTAACCACTACAACATCTGCCCAAAGAGGAACACTTATTATATCGAGAAAAATAGCACACCTTCTAGCACTGTAGTCGACGTTTGGCACAGTCACATCTGTTGTTCACAATTGCTTCTGTGTTTCTTTTTTCTTTTCTTTTTTTTTTTCATATACACTATATTTGTTTTAGACATTGAATGTAGCTCGGGCCATTCTCAGAGTTCCACTTACACAGCCGATCTGTTGAAGAAGTGAAATGTCTAAACAAACAAAGTTCAGATCTGAGTTTAGACATGACTTTCGACGCAGTACTGTTCGTGTCTGGTATTACAGAGGTTTAGGGAGCAGGCGTTGTGCTCCATGAATATACGATAGACCCATCGCCTAGTTTGTCAAATGGTTGGCATGCAGTTTTCTCTCACAGAAGAGCTGGTTAATGCGTCTTTATTTTATTCTATTGCGGAGGAATATGATATAGGGCTGAAAAGATTTTAAAAGTATGAAAATATTTATGTCGTTCAGGAGAGGCACTCAAATATACAACTGTTGGAGGCTGCGCAAAATCAAAACTTAATTTTAAAAAATCTTATATAGAATTACACTGTTCCTTATGTGCGCTCGTGGATGAGTGTTTGATGAGCGTCTTGCATTCTACTCCAACAGTAAAAAAAAGAAATGTACAAGTGTTTTTTTTTTGGGGGGGGGGAGGGAGGGAGGGGGAGGGGGGGGTGGTAACTTTTTCTAACTTAATTCGAATTAAAAATTTTATGATGCATTCTTGTACTTTACGCAATATTTCAAGCAAATTTTATTTATTTGAAGATTGATTAGTGTATTTCTGTATTGTATATGCCTTTGCACTTTGATGTATGGTTTGATGGTTGGAGAGTTCTTTTAATTTTCATCTTAGTGCAATCTCCATGAACAGAAACCTTTCATCTGGCATTCACGAATGTTGTTCATTCCATACATATCAATGTTTACAAGAATCACAGCCTACACGTGTTAGGTCACAGCCCAGCACGCGCATGTTCATCGCTTTGGAAGGTGAGCAAAGTACGTACCACACACATGAATACTGAAAATGGCACCAACCAGAAGCGCTTTTCTGGAATGGTCTATAGATATTTTGCTAAATTACATAAGCACAAAGGAGCATATGCATGCTACAAGGGTAGTTACACGTGCTGGCGTCTGCAGCAGTAACGTTTCTAAAGAAATTCCGAAACAAATGGCACGTTCCTTCAGGTATAAGACGAGCGTGCGGGGCACCTGTATCCCCATTTCGAGCATTATCCGTGGTGCTTGGGTAATTTGTCCAGAAATAAATGTATTGCTTTGCTCGTCGACCTTTTTTCGTCAGCGTAACTGCCAACTTTTGATAGAAGGAGAACGGATTTGCTAGCGATTCCACGAAACTAGCGAGCCGCGGCTTGAGCGTACCGATTTGCAAATACGATTTTCTCTAAAATCCAAATTACTTCCGTTTTTTTTTACTTTCTCATAGTTCAGCACGTAGGCCAAGGTCATACTTTGTGAAAATAGAGATTGTTATCAACTTCGGATAGCACGAACGCCCAGGTTTTCTCGCTGTTTGACGCGAGATAGGCGGGCGCGAGCGTACCTGACTGCCGGCCGCGCGCCTTACTGCCCGCTGGTGACGTCACGTTTGGGTGGCGAGGAAAACTGGAGAAAAAGTAGGGAGAACGATGTTTCGGTTTCAACAGCGAACAAAATATCACTTTTTTTAATTAACTAGAGTGAATCTGGGGCAACGAGATAGCATTTCAGAATCAGGAAGGCATCCACATTCAGATGATGCCTTTGGATTAGGTAGCTCGAAAAATCAGCGGAGTTCCCCTGTAAGGTTAGCAGTTGGGATTATAGAGGACAAGAGTGGAAAATACACGGACAAGTAGAAGAACAGAACGCTACTATTAACTGGTGTTTTTAATCTGAAGGAGGAGAACGAACCTGGAGATTTTTTCCTGTTCTGTTCTCCTACTTGTCCGTGTCTTTTCCGCTCTTGTCCTCTATAATGCATTGCCAACTAGCCCAGCAGTTAATTCTGATATAGCGGTTAGGACTAGGTTCCATAGTTTCAAAACTTACAGTTAGAGGAGTAAAAGCTATTTGTGAAACATTTTGCGTTGTATCCATCAATCACCGTCATATGCAAAATTGTGTTTTATGAGGAATGCAGCGGACGCTAACTCCAGTGTCACCCTTTTAGGCATGGGAAACCGTAGAGCCACTACACCCTCTGTACCATTCCTTTTTTTTGGCCAACTCTTTTTCGTCGTGACATGAGACAATTCATCATGGTGACTGGTGAAATCAGAGTTAGCTTCAGTAAGAATGCAATTCTGCATTAGAAGTGATTTCCCTAGCAAAAGGATGCTATCAGCCAGCAGAAGCAGACAGAGTGTTTGTGCTTGTCACTGCATTTATTAGACAGCCACTGTCAATAATGAGCCAACGTGAATACAAGCAGACTACACCTGCTTATGTGTTCACGTCTGCTTGTTACTGCTTCTCGTCAATTGTGGTGCCATCTAAGAGATGCTCTGGAAAACAAACAGTATCCACGCACATGCAGGTGCCTTTACATTTGTATTGAATTTTGTGTGTTTTTGCTTAACGTAGTAAAGCCTTTCAATATTCTTGAATTATTATACTGGATTGGATTCAATTATTGGATTATTGGATTGGATTCTGTGTATTTTTGCTTAAGGGGAAACACCACCTTAAAATTTGCTATTTTTTAGAAAAAAATTACTGTTCTTATTTTTATTTATTGTGGTCCAAAAACTAATAGTACACACTTCTGCAAATTTTTCTTGCAATATTTGAAATATTTAGGAAAAATAAAACATTTTCGGTAAGCAGACAATGTAAAATCCTTAGTTTTGAAAATGTTAAATTTCTATGTTTTCTATTTTCTAACAGCTGTAGCTCTGCACCGAAACGCCCTAGAATGAGGATCATACTCTCGTTGGAAAGAGCATTTTTTCACAGTTTCAATACATTAAACATATTTGTTTGAGAGTAACCACTATACGGGCAAGAACACCATAGAAGTCCAGCTTTCCCGTGGAACAGGCTATGCACACGGCAGAGAATCGAAAAGCCCACCCTGGATTGAACAGAAAACTAACTAAAACCAACATTCGTTTATAGAAAGTCGCTTGGGTTTGTCTGCTTTGTATTTCAACGATGCTTGCCCTGCCCCTAATTGCTGATGCTGGTTCATGTGTTGCAAGCATATCCAATTAATCACTCGTTTCATAATCAGTGTCCACGTGTCGACAACAAAATGACACTCGAAGAAAGCGTTCTAAGCTCGGACTCACTCGACAAGGCCACGCAGGAGATGAGTGTAAGCAGAAGGCACCACCTGTGCTCTTGGTGCCGTGCCCTCACCACCAGTAAAATCAAATGTAGTGGTGTGGAAACTTCAAATAGGGTGATTTCAGATAAGATCGACCAAAGGGTGGCTGGTCGACATTTTTAAATCAACTGATGTTTTTATGTGACATTGTCTAGTGTCTGGTATAAACGAATCCACACTTAGTTTTGACCAGAAAAAAAATTTGGAGACAAGAAAAATCGTAAGGCAGGGAGAGGTGGACAGTTGCAATAACGCGCACTGATGGAGGGGGCAAGTTTGAAAGTGAATAATTAAAACAATAAAATTAGGAGAATTTTAAAACTTTTTACAAACAAACTATGGGTACAACTTGCTTGTAATATAAAGTAATAATATTTATTAAACATTTATTTAGTTTTCTAAAAATTGCCAAACATGCCTGCTCGAACGACAAATGGCAAACTTTGGAGGTCTGTATCTCATGAAATAATTTAATCATTATGATATAATTTGCAGATATTATTCTACTAATATATAGCTAATATTTAAAAAATAACTAAGGTATCTGTGTGATACAATAGTTAGGATATATTTAGTCAAACATGGAAAAAAAATCAAACAAAGAAAAATTCCGATGCAAATAAAAAAAAAACCACCCTCGATTTTTTTTAAATTTAGGTAACCTGTTATACTCTATTTCGGCATTCATTTCCATTAAAAACATGTTGCATCATTTTATTGAGAAAGAAGATACAACTCCCCAAAGTAGGGTCCTTTTTCAAAGCCTACACTTAGCAGTGTTTTATACAAGAACTGACTCTGAGTTCCAGTTTCATGAAACCAACACACATCTTTTATATATTTTTATTCAGATGAGGCCAATGAGAACTAAAGAAATCGTTCACACTCTTAAATTAAGGAGAAACTACTGTGTACAAAGAGGTATCATATTACGGACTAGTGATCCGAGAAAAGATCATGCAGCCATCGGCCACTAGGAACTTTGTTTACTTTATTCTCCTGCGACACTATATGCTATTCCCTCTTCCGCTCTACCTTCATCTCTCTCTCTCTCTCTCTCATATATATCCCTGATATATATCCAGAACAAAAACATGTTCAAGCATTCCCTTTCTGCGTGGTAGTGTTCTGTGGCTAGCAAAAATCATTTCCTCGCTAAGCTCACGATTATGGCAAAATAGTTGCCGAAACCGCAGACGACACTCGTCGCTAGTTCTGGCAAAACGGCCGATACAATCTTTTTTTCGCATTTCCCCGCTCGCTGTCAAGGACAAGGGGGTTCGCTTCAACCAGCAAAACATGGCCGCCGACGCCTGTTTACTGAGCAGTCATGCCTGTCGCCATCTCACTCGCTGGCGTCGGGGGCGATAATATCAGGCACAAAGGGGCACACCAACCGGCAGCATTATCCCCAAATACTCGAGCCTCGCGTAAATACATAGAGTGTAAACGCTGTCGCCATGTTATCGTAGTAAGACCGCCCCCCCCCCCCCCCTCCCCCAACGGGGGACTGCAGTACGCGACGGCGTACTAACACAACGGCGACGATATCGACATCGCGGGCTCCGAATTTTCCCATAGTTCTACTCCACGGGCATTTCTCGAAACGCTTGATATTGTGTACGCCCGCCTGGAAGGATTTCAGGCGCGTAGTTAAGATAAGGCGGTTCTCCGCGGCAAAAGAAAGCAATTTCACAAAAGCTTAAAAGCGGCGGCGACGCGTGTGCGGTGAACGCTTGTAGTTTTGGTGTAGACAGGGTGTGTGTGTTCTCGTTGTTGACACCAGCCGGTGATAAGGCACTGCAGGCGGTAGCTCAGTACAGCAAGGGCTAATCCGAGTGACCATCAACGTAACCCCACCGCCAACCCCTCGCGAACCGGTCGCCGACATGGCTCAGGCCAGGCGCCGCCAGTCATTTCAAGAATCGCTACCAGCTTCACCAATTTGCAAAGGACGATTGCCCACAAGCCCAGTGGTTATTTTCTGCATCTGGACATGGGAAAAATGCATGTGACGGAGTTGGCGGACTCGTGAAGCACCAGGCCACGCTGAACAACCTGAGAGAACGTTCAGTAAGCGCAATTCAGACGGCCAGGACAATGGTGAGCGTTCTATCAAAGAAACTGAAAGGCGTGCATCTTGTATATCTGGACGAAAATGAGGTTGTTCGGTATCGTGAACAAAAAAAAGAAGAGTGGCTGACGGTGCGCCTTCCCTGGCATTCAGTCTTGGCACGCGTGGCGGCTCAGCAAGTCATCAACAGAAGGGACCTGTGACGTATATGTAGCACTGACAGTCGGATCTGCTTGGAAGCAACTTTATTAAATGGGTACAGCGAGGAAAACCTTAGCGTAAAGTGCCGAATTTGATTTCCCAAGGACTGCTCATTTTGAATGCAGGGACATCTTATTTATCACATTTTTCTTCACGGGGTATTTAACCTACTGTTTTTGTTGGTGGTTACTAATAATTTTTATCTGATCACTATAAAAAAAAATCCCAAAATGTTATCCTCGAGCAGGATAAAATATATCGGCTTGCCACGATTCATTCATACACCGAGAGCAGTTAGGCACTATGGCATCCGTCACCTGAAATTGTTTGTAATCGTAAATACACAGCCAACCTAAATATCTTACTATTATATCTTTGTTTTTGTGTGTGGAAGTAAAGTTATTTATTTTACTCTAGATGTAAAATATACCGGAAGGTACAACTTCACACTGCATCATCTTTTCTCAAATCATTAGTCTCTAATATGATACCACTTTGTACGCTTATGTAAAATGCTGTATATAGTTTCTCCTCCCTTTTACTGTGTGACCGATCGCTCTTTTTATCAATGACCTCATCTGAATAAATGTATATAAAAGATTTGTGCAAGTTTCATGAAACTGGAACTCAGAGTCACTTCTTGTATAGGACACTGCTAAGTGTAGGCTTTGAAAAAGGACCCTACTTTGGGGAGTTGTATCTTCTTTCTCAATAAAATGATGCAACATGTTTTTAATGGAAATGAATGCCGAAATAGAGTATAACAGGTTACCTAAATTTAAAAAAAATTGAGGGTGGTGTTTTTTTTTTTATTCGCATCGGAATTTTTCTTTGTTTGATTTTTTTTCCATGTTTGACTAAATATATCCTAACTATTGTGTCACTCAGATACCTTATTTATTTTTTCAATAATAGCCATATATTAGTAAAATAATGTCTGCAAGTTATGTAATAATGATTAAATTATTTCTTGAGATACAGATTTCCAAAGTTTGCCATTTGTCGTTCGAGCAGGCATGTTTGGCAATTTTTAGAAAACTAAATAAATTTTTAATAAATATTATTACTTTATATTACAAGCAAGTTGTACCCATAGTTTGTTTGTAAAAAGTTTTAAAATTCTCCTAATCTTATTGTTTTAATTATTCACTTTCAAACTTGCCCCCTCCATCAGTGCGCGTTATTGCAACTGTCCACCTCTCCCTGCCTTACGATTTTTCTTGTCTCCAAATTTTTTTTCTGGTCAAAACTAAGTGTGGATTCGTTTATACCAGACACTAGACAATGTCATATAAAAACATCAGTTGATTTAAAAATGTCGACCAGCCACCCTTTGGTCGATCTTATCTGAAATCACCCCATAGGTTTTTCTCAGTTTCACTTTTTTGCAGCAACTTTCGTTTTAGGAAATCTATAATTTCAATTAATTGCGGAATTTTATCTTCACTGTGGATGTTTCTGAACGTAAATTTAATGAGGAATGTGGCTAGATATTTATTTTTCTATTTAAGTTAAGTTCTTACTGCCAAAAGAAAAGTCGAAAAAGATGATGAGCAGAAAATGCTCCATTATGTGGAATGCTTTTTAAATTGACATTTTGCATGGAAAAAGCGCAGATTTCAGAGTAAAAAATAGATAGCCGCACCCCCCATATGTTCTAGTTACGGCTGAAGCTTAGAAATGTTCATTATTTTGCAGCAATTTTATATGATATGTTTCCTTGCGAAGTGAGGCGACTGATATCAATAGCTGTAGCTTTTCGGAAAATTGTCTTACGGAGATGAAACATCATACAGTACATTTTGGCAACGAGATGAATAGACCCTTTAAATTTCATCAGTATTGAAACTCTACAGTTGAAGTGGTGTGACCCCTTAACCTAGTAGAGCCTTTCAGTATGCTTGAATATCTATCCGCATCTCAAATTCTACTAAAACAAAAACACTACAGCACTGTGGTTGTATCTGGTTACTGATTAGGAGTTTCCAGCTGTTGTGGCACTTAATTGTACCATTCTGTCACCAGTCAAATGTGGAGAGGAGCACTAAACTATCAGTAACCAGCTAAACTAACCTGCAATGTCAGGCCACGTGTGTTTGACCATAAGAGTTGCAGGATTCAATATTCACAAAGCCCCGAAGCTGATAGCATGCCCGCAGGAGGGTCGACTGGCCTCGTGTTTTCTTGGGCTTCGTTGTCTTCTAGCATGCCTTCCTGCACGAGTGATGTTTGTGCAGAGCGGCAAGTCGACGTACCTCAAGCAAGTGGCTGTACTTCAGACGATGGCCCAGATGGGCTCTTTTGTGCCCGCCAAGTACGCCTCCTTCCGCATGGCAGACCAAATCTTTGTGCATGCGGGCCACAAAGAAGACATGGAGACCAACACTTCCACTTTCCTGATGGAGGTATGCACGTTCAGCGTTGGTTAGGAGTCGATCCATCGTCCTGGCGGGTGATGTCTCGTCAACAGCGTAATGTTTCATTCGCCATCATGCATGTTTCGGGTGATGTTTCATCAATGGACAACTTGCAACGTGTAGTGAGCATTATTAATGCCAAGGCCTCACGACTCGTCTGAGAAAATGTTGCTTTATGAACCTGTGGTTTGGGTAATTATAATAATTGTTAGAATAGAAAAGTATAGTCAATATAAAGGCATTGCTATATAAGATGGAGGGAAAGTAATTTATTAAGTTTGCTCGTTGGTATTTTGTAGTTATTAATTATGTCTGTACGGTCTCAGTTTTTAATAGTGTCATATGTTAGGTTATTTTTAAAATAAAGGAAACAGCAAAAACAGTTTTTTTTTTACACATTCAAGATATAGTCAGTGGCCATTTTGTAGTAAAAGCACAGTGGAGTTACTGGCAAATAAAATTAAAATGAACTTTTATAAGGCACAGATGAGCACAATCTACTTCGTGATACCATGGCCTTTTTTTTCTAATTTTGGAATTTAATGTGTGTTTTAAAAAGACCTCAATCTGGAAGCCCCGAAAACATTTATTTCCAAAACCAAAATGACGTTAACACCTTTTAGAATCATTATTACATTGCATGCATTTTGTATGTCCCAACATAAATGTATTTAAAAAAATCTGTGAGGCATTACTGATAAGGTTAGCAAAAATGGAAGTAACCTATGTAAAAATACCGAGCATGCGTCCATATCACTGTAAGTGCCCACATCTTGCTTTTGAAGCATTTTAAATATAAGCCAAGGGCATGTAGAGTGTCCACCTCGGCAAACTTCCGAGCCCTCCGAGCTAACCGAGATTTCTTTTTGTCAGCGGCTTCTGAAGCAAAGCTTTACGTGTGTGTTCCGGCGTAAAGCAGTGAAGCTTTATGCATGCGCTGTGGTGAAGCGTGATGTGAGGGTGCCTTTGTTTGACGGGAGAGCACTGGCATGCTTGACGCTAACAGCGCATTTGCTTTAATGAAAATTTCATGTTCCTCCAGACCCTTACACTGCTCCTATACAGTTCCGTGAAACCTACCTGTGCCAATTCTGTTTTTACGCTCCCAGACATAGCAAGTGCCCATCCCCCATTTTTTTCGCAATTATCTGCCGAGCGAACGCTTGCTCGATGTTCCACGCTACTTGACATTTCGACCAAGTTCCTCGGTGAGTGCTGTGGAGCTTGACATTCCGAGAACATTTGTTGACTGTGGCACCCATATGGTTCTTGGTGCCTGCAGATGCGCTCTGCCAGCTACATCCTCCAGAATTTCACGGACAGCTCCCTGGTGGTCATCGACGAGCTCGGCAGGGGTGAGTGGAGGCAGCCGGATGCCTTTCACTAACCCAGGTGTGCTCAGGCTTTTCGATCTTGAGGAGCCCTTACCTGCCTCGAATGGCAGCCCAAGAACCCATCGTGTTCTTGGTGTTGGTGCAATAAAGCAGTGCAGGAGAGTATTCGCGACTCCAACTAACTATAGGTGGCGCCACTCATTTTCCAAGATGGCGGGTTTAGTGAGGGTTGGAGATAGATTATTTCTGGTAATACGAGGAAGCTATTGTGTTATGAGCGCAGGTCACCTCTTTACCCTGAAAACAACAATGGTGTTTAGCATAATATTTGCGCAAGGATGCGCGTTTTAATTCTGGAGCGAAACCGAAACTAACCCCTATTTTTAATTGATTTTTCTCGACAGATGTCTTAGTTTCGTATTCTCTCATAACTCAAGATGTATCTCACGTCGTAACTATTTAGTTAAAGGGATTGTTCGCGGAAACATTATTTTTTGACATACATGTTCGATCCAGGCTGGTATTTGTAGTTGTAGTCGTTGAAAAAATCGGTGCTGGCATTTGTGTGTCCTCGCTGCCTTTTCTCGCTCAGATAATTGTCATGGGAAATAATGAACTACGGGAATTTTAATTGGCTTTTGGGTATTTAGATGATTAATTGGTTTAACATTATTCCCAGCACAAGAATAAGAGAATAATTCCAATTTTTACAATATGTCCACAAAACATATAAATTAATAAACGCTGTTCTCACTGGAACAACCCAAAGACGGAATCCAAGTCAGGCAGCTGAAGTGTCTGTGTGTGTTTTATAGCAACGCGTGATGCATATTACATCCAGTGTTTGACTGTTTGTCTACCTTGATAATGATGTCAGAGTTTTTCATATGATAAAAATAAAATAAAATTATACCTTTCTGGGAAGACTATTATGGCTAAATGGCGTATTTTCGAGACCTTGGCGTTAATTGGGGGCATACATTGCTGCGATTTGAACTAATAATAATAATAATTAAAAGTACAATTTTTTAATACATAATTTTTTAAGCTTTAATATAATTTGTTGCTGATGATATAATTTCAAACTCGCGAACAATTAGGACAATCGAAAGTGTTCTAATTATCACTGGTGCCAATTGCAGCATTTTTAATTTCCAAGTAATAAAATAAAAATACTCTAAAATCAATAAAAACATTCTAGCTAATGTGAGAAATCCATGTAAAATTGCATTAATTGTGGGTAAAGTATATTTAAATATCAAAGTCGCGACTTTTGACAATCGGCAAAACGTCCAAAATCGCGGCCAATATCCTTCCAAACCAAATGCCCAAAAGTAAAAAAAAAGAAAAAAATGTTTATTAATTTTTTTTTATAACATTAAGTTACTTTCATTTTTACGCTCCGTTGTTTTGCCAATCTCAGCCTTTCCAGTTCGAAGGAACACCTACCTGCTTGCACGTCTGCTCACTGCAGCACTTTTCGTTGGCGTTGGAAGCCGGCGAGACAGTTGTAAGTTTTAGTATTGCGTATACGAGTGAACTCAAGCGCTGTGTTTGCGTTAGCTTTGCGTGTTCCACACTGCGTGTGTGCGGAGCCCAAAATTACGGTCTTCGATGGCGCACGGCGATGAGGCACACGCACAACATGGGACACGCAACTCTAACGCAAACGCACAACGCTTGCGTTTGCTTCTATGTGCAATACTAAAACTCTTTAGTACCGTAATATCCCGAGTCATCGCCCATCCCCGAGCCATCGCCCACCCCATTTTTTGGGCCAATATCGATTTCCGAAAAAACACCGAGTCATCGCCCACCCATTCAAATACCCCAGCGCGGACTCTGCGATCTGCGAACACTCATCCCACCCGAATGACGCGGCCGCGGACCTTACAGTTGGAGGACGTCCGTGACAAAGTAAAACGAAGGAGGGAAAGACACTTCTTTTTGTTTACGCATTTCCTCCGTGAGCGACCCCAAAGTGGTCGTGTATCCGTGCGAAAAGAAAACGATGGAGATAACAAAACAAGAGTTTGTTAATGTAACCGCGGAGTGTTAGGTCAAAGTCTGTCTCCGCCGAAGTAAGGTCACCGCGAACCCGCTCCTTCTTCCCGCCCGTCGCGACCGCGGTTGTGCAATATTTTAGGCAAAGCCAACGCGTAAATAAAGCTTTGCTGGAACGCCCTACACAGACGTTTGGAGAGCGTCCCAACCGTGCATTGATAGCCCGCCGTGCGCGGACGCACGTATGTACGCACTAAACAAGAAAGTTGCGCAAGAGCTTGCAATTGACAAGGCGCCCGACTTGGCCCGACGCCAAAGTATTTGCCAACGCGACCGCCGGCTTTCCCGCTTTCCCAGCATTGCTCTTGGTCGCTTCTCTGGTCCGCTCGCTCGCTCGCTCGCTCGCTCGTTGCGCCTGGTCGGTTTTTCTATTTTCTTGTAGACTTTTCTTCTTTTTTTTTTACTAACTAGGAGAACATAGTGGTGACATTCTTTCACGGAACAAACGTTCGCGCTGTATGCAGGTCGGCGGTGTTTCTAGCGCGTATGCAAGCAACAGACTTCGATATAGTAAAATATTCTTTCGTGAGCATTTTTTTTTATAAAACAATGAAACTAAATCGAGTTTTGAGTTTGATGTATCTCTTCTGCGTCAGCGCTAGGTACGCAAAGAAAAATAGGCGTTTTTCCCCGCTTTTTTTCAAGTGTTTGTGCTCACCCACCGAGACATGGCCCACCCCACTTTTTTAATGAATTTCAGGCGCTAGGGGGGTGGGCGATGACTCGGGATATTACGGTAAGGTACAATCCCATACCGGCTGCAGCACTACGTTGGGACAGTAAAGAGTGTTGTTTGGGTTCGGAAATGACATTTCGCGAGCCGTGATCGCGCGCAGTTCGGCCGTGCACGCTGAGCAGGAGAATCGGAGGACCCTCACTAGACCACTTCCGGTTTCCGCCGCGGGAGGGCGAGCGTCGAGCTGGAGACGCGAATAGTGACGCACATGCTAGAGAGTGTTTGACTTGTAGTTAGGCATCAATCAGTGGCTCAGATCTGCTGAAATAGCTCTTAAACTGGAAGAACACTTTACATAGCATTCTGGGGCAGTCGAGGAAATTTGACAGCTAGGGACACCCTTGAGGGTGCTCTGACGAACCCAGTGTGAGAACCCATGCACTAACCTGTGGTTACCTTTGCCAGGCACAAGCGAGGAGGAAGGTGCTGCCATTTGCATGGCCATCACTGAGAAACTCATGGATTCAGATGTATGGATTTTCTTTGTTCACATATTTTGTTTTGTTCCGTTCTGTTCGGTACGATTGACCCCCACCGTGCAGCTCATTTAATTGCACCCTTACGTTCTTGTTACATTTCCTTACTAACACGAAAGTCCATAGATAAAAAAAAAAATACTATGTTCATTGACAGGTGCATGACCTCTTTCCTATTTCAAAATACTTTTTTGTACTTAAGAAACACAACGGCAAAAGTTCGGAGCAGCTAGGACACAGGGCGAAAAGAATGCTCATTCTTCATAGCCCTAAGTAAAATAAAGACAAAAATTTAATGCCTCTGGCATATCTCAAAGGCATTCTAAATGCATAGCATTTATAAGGTCTCTTTGCATTTCTCCTTTGCAGGTACAGTAAGGAGGCCACTGCAGGGCACATTGCAATGGTTTTGTGAACATTAGGGTTGTGCGAATATTTGAAATTTCGAATAGTAGTTCCGAATAATACACTATTCGATATTCGCTTCGAAAAGAACTGCACTATTCGCATTTTTCGAAGTGTTGATTGCGGCGGATTAGCCCCGTTGAGTGCGCTTCTCACCACTCACCAGTGAGCTGTGGAGAAGCAATAACCGCGGAAGCGAGTTGCTTCTCCGCAGCGCACCGGTGCTTGGTAAGAAGCGCACTCAATGGGGTAACCTGCCGCGATAAACACTTGGAAAAGTATGAATATCGTAATTGCGTGCTTGGAATTAAAGCATACATTCAAAGCGGGAGGGTGCACCTGTGCCGACTGTATTCGAAAATGAATGAAAAGTTTGTGAATGTGTTTATCTACATTGTAGTAAAAGTTTCAAAATTAAACTGTTAGGCAAGAGATGCCCTTACAGCCTGTGTTCATCATGCACGATTCATTCTTTTTTTAACTCGAGATTAAAGAAATAATATTTTATTAGCCGGATTTGTAAATTCACTCCTTTGGGTATAGTTGGCCATCTCTACAGGATTCATTTTATGTCAAATCCGTCGTTTACTTGCCATCCCAAGACACCAGACGTTCTGAGGTCACAGTTCATAAATATAGATAGATTAAACTTGGTTTATAAATAAACAAGTGGAACAACCTTCACAAGTTTAGCTGGGTTTTCGTCTAAGTATTATGCAATGGTAGTGAAAGGCGTGAAAAAACTATTCGACATTTGAATCGAAAATATTCTGGCAAATCCACTATTCGCTTCGAACTCAAAATCCACTATTCGCACAAGACTAGTGAACACACAAAGTTGTCACAGTGTCACGTGACACTGCAACATAATGTGGCGTCATGATGCCATGTGAAATAGCGGTCTCACGCGACATCAAAATGTCACTGACGTTGCAATATCACTTCATGGAGTCACCTGATGTCACGTGACCCGATGGTGTCACAAGACGTAGCCATGCCACATCATCGGTACATGTGTATGTTTTTGTTAATTTTTGTATCGATGAAGATGGAGTTTTTCTGCACTTGGTGAGGTGTGCATATGAGCTGCAGTGCCTGTATTATTTGTGCAATTCTTCATTTGAGGTTACAGGATGAGATAAGTTGTTAAGTTGGCACGCTAAATACATTGAACATTTCTCCAGCCTCGCAGCACACCCCACGTTGCACTTATTCGTTCTTTGTTCAAGTATTCGCAAAGTGCCGAAAAAGGCAAATATTGAATATTAATAGAATATTAATAATATTTGGTATATTTTTGAATATTCGCACACCCCTTATTTATGCAGAATCTATGTAGTGCCTGCCGGAAAAAAAAAAGATAATTGTGCATTTCACTGTTCAAACATAAAGTATCATTGTATAAAGCTCAGATGCCATCTGATCGGAGTGGCTAGAAGTTGGTATAATCTGCCAAGGTATTTATTTTTATTTATTTGACATACTATTAGTCCAAGTTAAAGGGACACTGACAGGGTATTTATGCTCGCCGAGGTTTTTAGTTTTACGTGAAATATGAAAGCTCAACTACCCAGAACAGAATTTGCGGCTCGAAATTCGGTTTCTTTCCGCCCGAAAACCGCCGATCAAGAACTGGCCGGTTCGAGTCTCGCTCACTCTCTTTTCCGCGGTCACGGGCCGTTTTCTAAGGTATTGATGCGACCACCAAATTTAATCAAAGTCGTGGGTCACTGAAGGCACACACTCAATATTAAAAATAGAAAAAATATGAAATTCATTTTTTGTGGCTTCTAAAAAGCTGCAAATACGTTGATTGAAAAAAAAGTTCCACAGACAACCGGAAGCATTCTGTGCGTGCGTCGCTTCGCGTATCGTGGGACTCGTGGGGACGGCGATGGCAGCGGACGACGACGGGCGTGGGACCCCTATTTCAGAACTGTCGTTCGCGGTACCGGCGAATTTTGTCTGCCCTTAAAAGAGAAATTTTGGACTGATCAAAAGAATTGGTATTCATCCCGTACGACACGCCCGACCACCAAGCCGATTTGCACGAAGACGTCACCGAGCCGTCGCTCCCTTCTCGTTGCTGAAGACATCGCTGGCGCAAACGTCAAGCACGACGTGTCTACTTCGAGTTGAATATGCACGCGCACGATTTCTTTACTAGGTGCAAATGTCGCCAATGCGTGGTGCTTCCCGACTTCGACGCGGGAGTGCTTTTGCTAGAGGAAAATCGGCAGCAAACTTTCCAACTTACAGTTTATCGGCTGAATTATTACTAAGGAAAGAGATCTACCAGAAAAGAGATGCTTCAGTAGTTCAGTGGGAAAGACGTCCGCTTTACACGCGGTAGGCCGGGTTCAATCCCAGCCTACCGCGTTTTTTTTTTTGTTTTTTTTTTAACATTTTTCGATGTTTACATTTCTTCTTTTTTTTTTTTTTACAATTATCACTGAAGAAAAAAAAAATAACAAACAAATGTTGTGGACGACACGTCGCTGAATTAAATGGTATGGGATTTCCTTTTTGACACCTGCGAACTCAATGTAATCGCTTTCCACAAAATGCAAGGAGCATATAAATCAGGTAGCGTCCGCTTTCCGAGGTGCCCGTAAATGGTCTACAGGAATTGCAGCCAGTCATTGGTCCCGATCTCGTTGATCTTTGGGAAACTCTGTCGCACAATGCCACTTTTTTTTTCGGACGCAGGACATGTGAGCCAGCTCTTCACGCAACATCTTGGGTGTATTCTTTTCGGAGCCGATCATGGAAATTCATCACGGGCACTCACTAATCATCTCCAACTCCTCAATGTACAAAAAAACTCATCTTGGAGTACATAACAACGAGCGGAACATGTATAACTGCAAAAGAATCGCACGGCGAACAGTTCCCGTACGCCGCATGTCGTCTGCTACGGAAAAAAGAAAAAAAAACAAAAAAACACGGTTGGGTGTAGCCACGTGACTTCCGCCACTTACTCTCTTCTCTCCACTTCTCCGACCTCCGTCGGGTTTCGGTTTCGAGCAGTTGCGTTTTTTGGCTTTATTAAAAAAATATGCTACTTTGTTGCAAAATATTAATTGGGTAGTCCTCCGACACCATAATAAAGCGCCTGGCAAAATATGAAAAAAAAATTTTGGGGGGTGTCAGTGTCCCTTTAAGGACTTCAATAGCAGTGGTAATTACAAAAACTTTTGAAAAGCTAGAGAAAATAAAAAGCAATCAAAGCACATGCAGAAACGCTGGTACATAAAATATAAACAATAAGCGGGATCCAATGCACAAACAAGTATATATATTGGCATATAAAAAATAGTTGTGTTGTGTTGAAATAAAATGAAAACAACTCAGAATCATGGAGTGAAACAACATTATTGGAGAGTACATTCCATTCTCGCACTGTGCGTGGGAAAAAGGAAAATTTGAAACAATCTTTATTGAACGAGAATTCATACAAGTAATGTGAGTGCTTGTTCCGAGCGATACGCGCCTTATGAAATGTCACGTAAGTTTATGGGCCTATGAGCGGGGACTCCGAAAGAATAATGAAAAGAAACTTCAAGTGCTTGTTTCTTCGTCTTGACTCAAGGGAGGGAAGATTAGATAGAGCGTACAGCTCTGTTGATGAAGCTAGTTTACGATACTTCGAAAAAATAAAACGTAAGGCTACTCATTGCATGCGTTCAAGATCAAGAATAAGGTTTTTCGTGTGCGGGTCCCATATTTCAGACGCATACACTAACAGAGGCCATATCAGCATTTTATAAGCAAACAGTTTTGTTTCAGTGGTTGCCAATTTTAAAGACCACCGTAAGAAGGCCAGTCTTGTATTAGCCTTTTTACTGTATTGATATTGGTTACATGCACGTTCCATCGAAGATCACTGGTAATAGTAATGCCAAGGTATTTGTTACTATCAATTCTTTTCAAAAGAACACCATAGAGACAGTAAGAGTATATATTGGTTTTAGCTTGTGTGTGATGGACATACAGATCGTTTTTCCTTTATTAAAGGGACTCTGGAACAACTTTTTGACTGGTTTTTAATTTGCACCGATCCTGAGTGCACTGAACGTAGTAACTTAATGAAACTTTTCTTTTCTCAAATTTCGCTTTATTTTAAAAGTTATAGGCAAACTAGAATTACAAAAACAAGCAAAAAATAACCTCCTTCATGACGTCGTAGGTCCTGGCTTGAGTGGCCGTGAACTAGAGGAGGAGTAGTGAGCTCATCGAGCGCTCACGGCTGCCACACTCCGTGTCGACGGCTCGAGAGGGCGCCACTAAAGCACGTGTTGGATAGGCTATATGAAGCGGGCGGCCAGGGCAGCTCGCATTGCGTTTGCTGCACGGTTAAAGACTAATTCGGCATAACGCTTCATTGGCCACAAACGACAGCAAACACGGGATAAATATCAGTTCGGAAGGGGAGCCACTTCGCGCAGCCATACCGCCAAATGGCAAAATCGCCAGCCAGCCCGCGCCGAAAGCCTTCGGAACGCTCGGAACCAGTCAGATCCTCGAGTTGGTATACGACCGCAGCGCCACCGCGTACATTCGGGACCTTTCTGCGCTCACCGTTTGTCGGCGCCTCATCCCACTAGCCCTTTCTAGTATGCGCCATTTTTTCTGCCATTTGATGGCGGGTATGTCGACGGGTCATTTCTTGTTTCCGTACTTTATAAACTGCATTTGTTTTTTTGCTGACCTAAAATACTAAACAAAAACTACTTTTATACATAATTTAAACGGCTTGCGACACTTATATGTTGTATCTTGACAAAAAAAAAATTTTAGCGGTTCTGACCAGTAGTAAGCCCAGGACCAAAGACGTCACATATTGCGCGCTTTCGGCAACGAGGGTCGCCCTCGTAGGTGGAGGAGGTTTCCGCGTCGTCTGGTTAAAATATGACGCACTGATATTTAGTTATTCTCTCCGTGCCCGCTGGCTCGCCCGAACCCCAAGAGACGTGGAAACCGCAAAAAAGGTAGACGCTTAAATATGATTGCAAGGCCCCTTTAAGAGACATTTCCCATTTCCTGCACCATTTCTGAATTTTATGTAGAGACACACTTAGAATTATTTGGTCAGACGCAGTTAGGACGTTGGTGTACAAAACTCAATCATCTGCAAAGAGCCTAGCTTGCACCAGGTGTCGTTTATCGGATCATTTGTAAAAATTAGAAAGAGTAGGGGTTCCTGTAAAAGTATAAAGTAAGCTTTGTAAAAACTTACCGTAAAATACCGGGTGAGCACCCACCCTATCTAGACATGGGCGCTTGTCTGGCTAAATCGGGCGGTCGTATAATTTGCAGAATTCCCAAGTTTCGGAAATGTTAATAGAGGGCGCTGGGACGACGTGGGCGCTTCTGTGGTATTTTAAGGTAGGTTGCTGAAGTAAATGGCTGAAGGAGAAGAACTTGATTTGTCTATGCGAGAATGACATCTGGCAGCAGGAACAGACGTGCTCTGTCTGTTTCTTGCTGCATTTCTCAGATGGTGCATCTGGCGACTTGCTTTACCCTCCGTTTGTTCGTGCTGGCAAGTTCTAAAATCCTCCCATCATTTTCTTCTTTTCTCACATTCAATGAGGGGGATTAATGGCCGAGTGTGTTAATGCGCCGGAGCATGTGGAGCGAAAGCTAGCACTGCAGAACCCAAGGATCCTGGGCTCATTCCTCACCCCTGTCCATTTCGATTTGGACAAGCATTGTATTGGCGTGCAGTCGTGTATCACTACTGCGTGATGCACGTTGAAGACCCCAGGCTAGCTATGGTACTGCACTGGCTAGATTTCTTATCTACGGTGGAGACATTGTACGCCCATTGGGGCAGCTGAATAACTTTCTGCTATCTAAACGTGCACACAACACAATTACTTACATTCATTGTGAAATGAACCAGATGAGTATGGGAAATAATTATATTGCTTGGGGTCACGGAGACATAGAAGACAATGTTGCAGAGAGCTGGATTCGCTCTCTTCAGAACATGCCATCTTCCAGCGTGTTCACAGTTTGTGAAATGATTCCCTCGTCGAACTGTGATTTGCCGACCTGCTGAAACTATTTGTTGAGTGTCTGAACTCTTGGCCCCAGGCATTTGTGATCCTGGCCACCCACTTTGACCTGATGACCCAGATGGAGTCCATGTACCGTAACGTCACCAAGCAAGTCCGAGCTTTCTTATTTTAATCAAAGTTTTTCACCCCTGTAATGTTTGGGATATTTGAGCGCAGTTAGGAAAGTCATGAGTCGTCAGGACATATGGCCAAACCTTTGGAAGAGGTGGGGGAAACTGGCAGAGATTTTTACCCTATTGCTTTCTGTGATGTGCATGCTTTTACTTTGTTCCACTTTACCGGTAATGTTACCAGTACCAAGTTGGGAATGGTGCAAATATCCATTGACCATCCAAATAAAACTTCTGTCTGTGGTCCTAGACTGCAAAAGGTTGCTGCCAAAATTGGGAGTGCACCATAACCACCATTCATAGCTCGGGGTTGGGGTTGGCAAACCGCAGCTCTTGATGTGCCGAGTTGTGGTTCTACAGTCGACCATCTTTGTCTGAGGGGTCGGCAAAACTTTTGAATGTACAATTCTGTTTGCTGTAAAGATTGAGCGTGAAAAATCGTGTCATAAAATATAATGCGACCCGTATCACATTGCGCTGCACCTGCGCAACATAGGGGCCATTTCTGTGCACTTCCGTTAGTCTCACCACAGATTTCTCCCCAGGAATTTTTAGGGGTTGACATAACCACCATGCGAGCGGTGATAGGGAAGGGGGGAGGGGGGGTAGTTTGCAGTGCATTACGATCTGGCTTGTCGACAGAATGCATTTTGCATAGGCTCTCTGACTTTGCGGCCCTCTGAGTGGTGTCACGCTGCGGTGATAAAACAAAACCAAATTGCCTTGGGAAAAAAAACAAAAAAGAAGGAGGAGGAGGAGGAGGAGGAGGAGGAGGAGGAGGAGGAGGAGGAGGGGGGGGAAAGGCGGGGAGCGAGCGAAGAGGCAAAGATAAAGCAAGCCACGGCGCAAGTAAACATTGAGCAAGAAAAGTCCCCTCGGCTGTCTGCTGTCTGCCACTCGCTGCCTGCGGAGAGAGCGTGGTGTGCGTTTGTCGTGTTTGTTTATTTTGTGTTTCTCCTCGGCCAAGCACCCGCCCCGCCCCCCCCCCCCCCCCCCCTCGCCGTCCCCGCACTGCCGGCGGCGCTCTGCAGCTCCGCTCTCCTTGTTTGAAAGACTGGCGGTAGGGGGCGATGCGGTGACACGCGATAACGTGGCGGTGCAGGCCTGCTAAGTGCAACGGTCTGCAGCCATGTGCGCAGGCAAAATCATATCATCATCCTGTGGCATAATTGAGCTGTGAGCGGTCAGTCGGAGCGGTGAGCGGTCAGTCGGAGCGGTGGGCAGCAAAGCCCCTGCTGCCCGCCGTGGGGAGAACCCCGTCTCCCTGCTATTGTGGCGTCACGGGAGGGAGGTTACACATTTGACATACTGCAGACCGCCCGTCTAGACCAAGACGAAAGTTGGCTGACATAATCGAGGATTTTGGGCTCACCCCCACTGAGACTTGGAAAGAATTTGGGCGAAGATCGGCATGCTTGTCAAACAGCTTTCCAGTGAGCGAAAATGGGATGCAAAGGGGGATCAATGGCCGAGTGGGCTAGCACACCAGTTCAGAGCATATGGAGCAAATGCTCACGCTGCAGAACCCCAGCCTGTTTCGATCTGGATGAGCATCGTACCAGCGTGCGATCGTGTATCACTACTGTGTGGTGCACGTTAAAGACCCCAGGCTAGCGGTCGTACTGCGCACTGGCTAAATTTCTCATCTACAGCTGGGAGACAAGTTGATCGTTGAAGCAGACTAAGTTCTAGGCTGTGTAAACATACACACACCCCAATTTTTTTAAAGGGGAGGCAAAAAAACTTGTCTTATAAAAAAAAGAAGAGATTCATTTTTCACGAGTTTAGGCAATCCAAGACCACCAAAGTAAAGTCTGCAACCCTTTTTTTGTCCCGGCATGATAACCGAGGAGCGGGGGAAAAATGGAAAGTACAACACAGAGCTTGGAGCTTCGTGTTTACCGCCCCGATTTTTTCCCCGCTGCTGGGTTACCATATCGGTATTGAATCAGCTAGCCTGCACACTTGCTTTTTTTTTTTCCCTGTCTCATCTAACAGCCTGTACAGAGCATTAATGGAAATGTTTACTGGGACCCTGTTTTCTCTTTTTCTTTTTTTCTACCATCTTATATAAAATGTAGTGACGCACGTGGTTTAATGTACTATTTTTCACAAAGGCCAGTATTTTTGCTAGGCAGATTGCAACAGTAGTATCAGCATAAAAATCGCAGCAACACGGAAAAACTCGCAGAAGTCCATCAACTTCTCCCTCTTTTTTCCTTTTCTTTTTTACTCGAGCTGCCCTGGTTTTTTTGCCTGATGTGCTCAAGATGCACAATATGCTTCGGTGGTGTGTTGTCGAAAGAGGAATTAATTGATTGCAGTGAGTCAACCATTCATGGCCTCTGTTGTTGACAGAGTTGGTGCAGGTGCCTATATCACCCATCCATCTCCCGCCTTGCTCATACCGCTGATGCAGTGAACTACCAGAATCAAGAGGCCGTGCACAAGCAAACGAAACCAACATTACTATATCCTATGTTAAAATAAAGCAAATTGAGTGCAAGTGCAACAAAAGAGCTTCCTCGGGAGTTTTTTTCGAAGAAAACGGCCCGACATCGCTTGGAGCTTGGAGCTGCATGGTGCTGAACTATCGGGAAATAACATTTTATTTTTTCCTCAACGCCCAGTACTTTAGGTTTCATTTTTGTCAAATATTTTCTCTACTTTTGAAAACTGTTTTTGTTATAACCACAGCCACACTTGGAATTTAATCATTAGAAGTGGGTTCAGATTGCATTGGAAGTATACAAATAGGAGCCCAAAATGAACACAAGTTTGGTTTTTGTGTTTTCGGATAAATTCGAGAAACACTCTTTAAGATACCGGCTAAACTTCCAGTTGTGCCGTGGTATCCAGGAGGGGAATCCACGAGAAATAAATATGTACAGGCCCGAATACAAAGCGCATCATTACACCGCAGAATTGTACATTATCAACGGTGCAAAGACATCTCACTGTCTCCGCCTGTGGGGCAGTCCAGCAAATAGCCAGGCCTCGTCAGTCTGGAAGCTCTTGACGTCCCTTTCAATTTAATTGGAGGGGAGTGTAATTACAGTCACCTCGCCGGTGCAAAGACCAAGCCCCTCTTTGTCTCGCAGTTTCCACATGCAGGTCGAGACTGAGGAAAACGAGGGATGCTTGAAGCTGCAGTGCACCCATCGACTTGCCAAGGGAGCATGCATGGACCGCAAATATGGTAGGCATTCCACACCGGGGCCATTTGCGTCAAGCAGAGAGTCGCCGGACTCATCTATGTGAGATGAATATAGATACCACCCGTGATTATAGTTGGGCAAAGATTTAAATTTTTGAACAGAGGTTTAGAATAATATACTATTTGATATGAACCTTAATATTCATACTTTTTGAAGTGTTGGCAATGTCACGGTTGATGCCAGTTATCCTCGTTGAATATGCTTTTTACCGAGCATGGGTGCACAGCAGAGAAGCGGCACTTGCAAGGCAGACACCCCAATCCTGCAAATGTCGCTTACCCACAGTGCAGCCACGTGCTGAGGGTAACCGAGAGGGATGGTGCTTGCACTCTCAATCTGTATTTAGTAGGCATACGCAAGTAGTGGATTTTAAGTTCGAAGCAAATAGTGGTTTTGGCTGAGTATTTTCTAATCAAATATCTAATAGTTCCTCCAAGCCTTTCACTATTGTTGCACCCTGCTTAAACGCAAACTCAGCTGAACTCATGAAGGTTCTTCCCAACCTTCCACTTGTCCATTTCTAAGCTAATTTTAATTTATCTATACATATTTATAGATTGTGACCTCAGAAAGTCCAATGCCTACATTGGGATTATAGTAATTATAATAATAATAATAATAATGCTTTATTTGCGAGGAAACGCAAGGAAATCCAATGCAAGAATGGCAAGGAAACGACAGATTTGACATAAAATTAAGCATATAGAGATGCCCTAATCGAGTAGATTTATAACTCTTGCAATATGCAGATATCTTCAATCTCAAATTCCTAGTTGCTCTCGTGCCATAAAACTCCAATCAATGAATCAATCAATCTCAGATTTGAAAAAAAAAGAAAAAAAAGAATCTTGAATGATAAACGGAGGTTGTCGGGGCGTATCTGCCTAACATACTCTTCCATAATAGCCACAGTTTAATTTGAAAATTTTATTGCAATGCAGGTATCCAAATTAACAAAGTTTCTGTTTCTTTTTAAATACACCAGGCGTGCGTGTGCACCATCCCACTGTGAAAAATTTTTTCTTCTCCGTTCACGATTGATATATTTATACTTTTTGAAATGTGACTCCAGCGGGTTGGTCCCTTTGAGCACGCTTCTTACCAGGCGCCAGTGCACTGTTGAGAAGCAACACCTGTGGGGGGGCTTGCCTCTGCAGGCGTCACTTGCGCAGTGTACTCATGCTTGGTAAGAAATGCGCTCAATGTGACTAACCCACGGCAATCAACACATTGAAAAATATAAATGTCACAGTTCATCTCGAAGCAAACATTTGCGCAACACTAGTATTTAGGAAAAGCTGAAACTTGATGGATGTTGATCTTGTAGTAGATTTTTTAAAAATAAACTATGGCTATCTTGCAACAATATATGTTAGGCAGTAATGCACCCACAGATAATAATAAAAATAATAAACTTTATTTACCATGAGATGAGCTATGTGCATCATAAGTCGTGCTTGTTTTTTTTTTTTTTAGAATTTGAAATTGAGGGAAGGATATTTACGCATAACAAGACGACTCGTAAATCCTCTCAATTACGTATAGCTGAGCATCATTCTAGTTTATTTTCACGTCAAATCTCATTTACCTGCCACCCGTGTGTAGGCCTTAAACTGTGCGAGGCCACAGTCAGTAAATCGATTAAAATTAACTGACTTAGCAGTAGACAAATGGAAGGGTGAGTCCAGCTGAATTTTCGTTTGTTTGAGCTTGGTGCAACAGTAGTGATAGACTTTGGAAAAGGTGCAATGACTATTCAATTAGGATATATTCATCCAAAATAACTATTCACTTCAAACTTAAAATTCACTATTTTCTCATGCCTACCCAAGATCGACTGATCCTGACAGACTATGTAGTCCCACAGGTCGATAGGACACCTGTTGCCCCAAAGTCAGTAGGGTGGACACACATTTATATTTTGCAGCTGTGAAAGACTATCGCATTTACAGTTGTGCCCTTTTATGATGAACCCGATACAGCAAATTACTGTCTATATCGAGCGCCCAAATATTTCAAACAAAAATGCATGTTAAGTGTATGTCTATAACAAACAACCTATTGGCTATATCAAACTCTGAAACAGTAAACGGCCCTCGGAAACGCGCGAATGTCTGCCCGGGGCACCGACTTGAGATTACGACGCGCAAATGGTCGACCTGACCTCTTTACGAACAGCAGTTTCAACCAGCTTCAGTGTGAATCTTGTTCTTGTTAGAGTTTACTACGGATGCAAGCACTCAAATGCACGACGAGAGAGCTTTGTTGTTTCCAGTCGCACGAAGCACATGGCGTGCTTCTCTATGGTTCCGCTGGTTTCGTTTAGATTTTGGAAGAAAATCTCCTTCATGAACATGCCCGTTGTACTGCCAGCCCTAAATCTAAAGCACAGGCGCTTGTGGCTCACTCGTAATCGGCGCACCTCACGCAGCAAAAGGGGAAGCGACTTCTATCTACTTCGTGCGAGTCTAGATGCTCCAATCCAGCAAACGTCCCTGCAGAAGAAACAGTTACACTGGAACTGCTTCCCGTTTTATCTGTTAGCCCACCTAGCGCATTATCAGTTACGTTTTCTTGAATTAAAGGGTTTTTTTCGCGATCCAGTGAAGTACCTACACACAAGTGTTTACTGCACATTTAATGTCAATGTATTTTGAACTCCCGGCTTCCAAATCCGCTATATGTGGGTTCTGATATAACAAACTATTTGATATATCCAACTAATATGTGCTTTGGAAAGGGTTCGTTATAAACAGGTTTGACTGTATTCAAATGTAGATTGACATTTATTTCTCGGAACTGCCGCTTAAAATTAGGGGTCAACCTGTAATTGTGACGAAAGGATGTCGACCTATATAAGAGTGAGCAAAATTTTCGAGCCAGTTGGGCTTACCCAGATGCTCCGCCGTGTGAGGTGCTACTCCTAGCATGCCACTGCAGAGTGGCGAAGCGTGACCGACACGCCGGTGCAAAACGGTAGAGCCTAACGTGGGTTGTGCAAACTCCATGCGAAATGAAACTATACCATAAAATACCGAGCAACTGCCCACTTAAAATTGGGAAGTAATTGTGGAAAACCAGGGATGGGTACTTTCTAGGTCTATGAGTGAAAATGCAGAAGCACATTGTCGGGTGGGCCCTTGCTTGGTCCGACCGCTGAACTCAGAATGGCCGTCCTTTGCCAAGTTTGACAAGTGCTCCGACGCGTAAAAACAGAATTTCGACGTCATTTTCGCCAAAGAAAAAACGCCGTACGACGCTCAATGCAGTTTTCACGGGAGCGGCACTCGGCACAAAAAGCGACGCGACCGTCCCTATTCCCAGCCACATTCACAATTTCACTCTCCACCACGGCATGTTTGTTGACATCATTATTTTTGATGGGCGAAATATCTTGAACAGCTGGGCAATTCGTCAATCCCAGTTTTGTGGACAATGCGTGCCAGGTGGTTAAACTGTTGATCGCTTAATTTCCCACTTGCAGCCATAACTCACACGCACGTGACGCGTGCTGTCACGTTTGGTTTGGCTTGGCTTGGCCTCGCCGCTTGGCGATTTATTGACTCTGTGGGTGCGCGGGGGAAAAAGAAATATCAACGACTGTTCTGGATGGTGTGTTCATTATGTGAGTAAATGCGGTAAATACTAGTTTATTGAGAAAAATTAAAAAGTGGTTGATGAAGCACCGTCTAGTCCTCGTGACTAAAGCCTTTGAATAACTTTTCTGAGCTGGAACGAAAGAGAGCAACTTATCTATCCGACACGGTCTGGACCCCTCATTGCCCTTCTGCTTTGCCACTTCACCCGTGGTATGCCTGTGCTGCGTGCCGGTTGCAGGGATAATGGTTTGTCTCGCATATTTTCTAACTTGCTTAAAGTAGCGGAATGGGCACGCACTTATTGAGTCCTTCGAGGATTGTTTTAAATGTCTTAAAAGTAGGGGGTGGGTGCTTACGTGACATGCTCTTCATTTTACGGTAGCTGAACCAGTGGGGCTGAGCACTGCAGAAGCGTGCGCACGCGGGAGAAAGAGACGGAAAGATGAAACTGCAAAAGCGTCAACCCATTTCAAGGAAAGTCAAGGCCATGCAGGGCAAAAAGTGTAGTGCACAGGTGGCGAGGAGGTAAAAAAGAGGGGGCAAAGGGAAAAGGGCAGCTGCAGCCGGGCTGCCCAGTGCATCACATCGGCCGCGTTGGGTGACAGCTTTTGAACGTAACAACTGGGAAGGCAGATGCAACTAAGAGGAAATCAATACAGATATCTCCATGGGAGCTCAGTGAGACACTCGGTAAAGCGTATCAACCGAGAACATACCAACAACAGTCTTCTTACTGTGCTTGCAAGGGATTGGATAACAGTTGCAGACTATAGTTGCAACATTCAGTTTGTGGGATAGAAAGTATGAAGTGATACTAATGATCACTGGTGCTAAGGTTGTATTGCATGCTTTTCAAGATTACGAAGGTATTGGTGACGATCTAATAACTATGTCAATGTCATGCTGTAAGGTAGCTGAGCAGTGCTCAGATAAAAATAAAGACCAGGATAGCTTTGAGGCACTGGACCCAAGGTGTCCAATGAGTAAACTTATTAGTAATTTAATTCCAGCTTGAGCAGACAATGTGATCCAGATCTCAAAGGAACGTGTTCACTATCTCCAAGCTGCATTTCCTGCAGCCAAATGGAATCTGCCCGCTGTACTCAGGTCTCAAGCTTGCCGAGATCTCCAACATCCCAGCTCCCATCGTGGCCAGGGCAGCCCAAGTCTCGGACCAGATATGTGCCGCTTTCCCAGCATTCAGCCACGTGAGCACGGGAAGTGGATGGGCAAGAAAGGGAAAGTTAATCCTTCTATTGTCGTAAGAGGTCCAGTGCGTTTGTATTTCGTTCCGCATGTTAACGAAAGCCTTGAGCATGCACTGCTTTGTCTGAAAGGCCTACATGCTCCTTGAGTAGTGGAAACAAGGCTGCAGTCACGTGCCTGCAACTCTGGGATGCACTCTTACTTCCGTAGCCGAGACATATTCCAAGCACTTGCCCTACAACCTCGGTCTCGCGACTAGGGTGCCTGGAATGCATCTCCGACTCATGTACTGCTCATTCATCAGAGTGCCCCCAGTGGCAACACGGCCTATCACCGAAGCTCACATGTCCCGACTGTTGGTTGTAGACATAGAGTTTGTATAATAAATCTAAAGTGAAAGGTCCATCATATTCCCGTGCATCTCAGTTGCTCGGAATGGCAGGGCATAGAAGCAGACATCAGTGGTTTCTGTGGGCCCAGATTGCTGGCAGCACTTTAGAGGGCAACTCTGCCCAATTTCGAAAATTTCGGGATAATGAGTGATTTCACATTAAAAAGCACTAATAAAAGGCTCTACGTCATTTGTTTGCGACAAATGGAATATATATTGTTAAATCTTACTTTGAACATGAGCAGGTCTCGAAACAAAAACTTTGGCTCTGTCTGGCAACATCGGCCTCGGGCTGCCAAAACCATGGCTATCACGTGGTACGAGATATCACGTGACCCTCTGCGCAACGACGGGCAGGATTGGGGCGGGCTGGCGGGCTACGATTGGCATTGGGGCAGGCGTGTGCCAGGCGCAAGTGTCATCTGCATCACATCCTTCACCATGTTTCGGTGTCTATGACATTTGATGACATCTGCACAGCTGCGGCATCAGTCTGCGCACGTATTGTGAACGGAACTCCGAGAGACAGTAATCACAAACGGTGAAACAACGACGGCGGTTGTGACGCGGGGGCGGCCAGACGGCTCCGAAGAAGCGCGCTGCGCAGGCACACATCAATCACGTGGACAGCACTGAGCGTCCAGAGGAAACGTTGACGTCACCCGTTACGCTTGCTCAGAGAAGTAAAAAAAAACCAGGAAGGGGCAATGGTGATAACGTTTAGCTCAACATCGGCTACGCCAACTCTGTAGCCTTGACTGCGCTGTGGGCTGCGCCTCAATTCGTCCGCTAGAGTCAGCCGATTTCGGCAACTTGGCGAGTTGCAAAGTTTGCCCGACTATTCAAGGAACATTTAGACAGAACGACGTCGTAATATTTGACGTGTGGTCTTCCTAGGTGATACTGAAGAGGACAGCATTGTTTTTTCAAAAACAGAAATTAAGCGGAGTTGCCCTTTACTAAACGGAAGGAAGCAGCAAAATGTTGCTTGCAAGGGCAGTATCTAGTCTTTTATAATTTTATTTTGCAAGAAAACACCGGCAGAATGCATTGTTTGATTACTTGTGCAGCAGGTACAAGACTGGCAGTGCGAAAACATAAATGATAACAGATGGAAAAACAGCGGGCGCTTTATCGCACTGTCAGTCTTGCACCCGTTGTACGAGTGGTAACTTCAGCGCTCCACTGCACTTCCCACATGGTCGAAGTCGTTCTAAAATTTGCTGACCCTGAGCAAGTTTGCAGTCTGAGTAACATGTTTATCTTAATTAATTAAAAATTAAACCGTTTCGGATGAGCCTAGCTCGTCAACGTGGAGCCGTCCTCAAACCGTTCAGGATGAGTATAACTCGTCTGTTTTCCTCGGTTCGTGCACTCTACTGTTTGGGATGAGCCATGTTCACTCATGGCTTAATTTGAGGCTCTGCCAACAGATGGCAGCACAAAATATTTAAAAAAAAAAAATTTCTCTTATTCTGTTTGTGGCTAGAAACTTGATTTGGAAGGCAACAAATGTAATTTTGAAGACAACAATTAAGCCGTTGAGGGTCAGAAATTTATCAAAACTAGAAACGGTTAGGGGGTTAATCAGCCGACTTATTGTGATGGTTACATACAGGGTGTCTTTTTATTAAACTTTACAGATTTGTTAAAAAAAAAAAAAAAAAAAAGCTGTGAAAGCTACACTTATGCGGTTTGTGCAGGTGAGTTTTACAGCCAGGAGGACATAGTCCTCCTGGCCGCAAATTGTAATGGTCAGTCGGCTAATTAACTAAATTTTGTTAATTATAACTTTTTAATTAGTGAAAATACATATTGTTCCAATTAGAAACTTGCTGAGCATCATCGAAAACCACTAAATCAGTAGTTTTCACGAAGACTTTGAGCATGTGACAAGCGCAATAATATGCGAGCGTGGCGAGCATGGATAAGCCTAGAATGAGAGAGCGTTCAACCCTAAGGTTACATTCGCATGGTTTATAGACAGCATGATTTGAGTATTCTGGGCAGGTAACGAAAGAATTTCGTCGGGGTTGTCTGGGTAAAAGATGCACACTGTCTACATTAGAACATTTTTGCAAAACTTGGTACCGTGATTTATTTGTTAAATTTTTGGGTCCTGACCCCTTTAACTAGTTTTTCAAAATAAAATGGGAGAGATATGACCTAGAAGCACTGATTCTGAGCAGGGGGAAGCATTTTCTTAAGTCACTAGCTCATGGAAAATATTGCACAATTAAAAAACAAGCAACCCAGTTTTGACTTGAAACTAGAAGTACAAGTTTTGTCTGGTTAAGGTAAATAAATCATCTATCATTTGGTGCAACCGCAGCAGAGGCAGGTACCATGAGGAAAGAAAACTTGCGCAGTTACACGCCACACAGGGATTGTAACACCACCTAACTTTCACACAAAAAAAAAAAAAATCTGTCCAAGGCATTTTTGCTTTTTCATAACGTATATTTGCACTGTGGGTGTTGCTTCCCTGCAGCACACCCATACTGCAGAGGAAACGCCACCAACAAAGATATATAGGGTTGTTTCACGTGACATACGTCTAGCTCAAAGTATTGCCAGACTAGTTGATGAACTTTCATTCTGTTTTTTTATGCATGAAGGCAATGTTTTCCAGATTGCTTGAGTTTTTGTTTTTTTAAAATGTGATAACATTTCTTTCGGCAGCAAAAAGGGATGTGTTTGTGTCTTTTACATGGAAGGTCAAATTAAATACACTGTTATTCGAATCGCTGTTCGAGAATTCGAACATGGGCTGGCATCGACCCAGTAGCAGTTGTGTTGCAAGCCGATGAAACGGGCACTTCTCTACAGGACAATCCAGAACTGTGGAAACTGGAGCGAGCGGAGCTGGAACTCGGTGGCAAGCTGAAGATGCTGGCCAAGCACTGCAAGCTGAGTCGGCCCCAACGACACGCCCACCTACTCGAGCTGCAAGCGGAAGCGCAGCGCTTACGGGCCTGGAAGCAAGCACTGCTCGACACATCAACCAGTGCCCCACAAGCAGCATCTGACTCGACGATGGGTTCGGAAGAGTGATCCGTTTCCGAGAACAGCCTTTTTTCAAACGAGCACCTCAGGTTATTTGTCTATTTGTTTATTTATTTATTTGCTTATATTGACAGCCAGGTCGGGCTTCGGTTGTTTCCTTGTATAAAGACATCAGTCATTGCTCGTTAATTTAGCTTGTATTTCTGCCATCACTGCTCTACAAACTGAAGGACTGTCTGCTATAAAACACTAAGTTCATTTGGTTTTCCTTCAAAGAACTGTCTGCTATTGTCTCGTACTTGAAAAACCCTGAGACAAGAACAAACAAAAAAAGACTTTTTTTTTTGGGGGGGGGGGGGGGGGGGGGGGGCGGTATTGTTGTGCACCAGCTTGCCTGCACGTTAACCCTCATTTTAGTAATGCTACTGTGTCTTCGATGTTTACATTCAACATTATCGGTTACTGTAAATGATTTTATTTTCATGAGTTATATATCTTGTGACGTGAAGTGATATGCTAAGCATTTGTTACCATAGGTTGAATGTTCCACACTATATCAAGAAACAAAATTCTTGAAAATTCAGACCTTGCAAAAATTAAGTCGCTTACAGTATTCACAGTGGATATCTCTATTGTACTTCCAAAGAAAGAGTGGCTTAATTATTAATGCAAACATCTGGAATGATATCATGCATATGCTGTTACAAGGAAGCTCGAAAATGACCCTTATTGCCGACATATAGTATTTCATTCATGAATAGTGGACAAACATCAATAGTAGGTTAGAAACAACTGTGTGACCTTTGAACAAGATCAACTCCTCTAATTTGCGAATACAAGTGGGCAGATAGCGTCATAGGGCAGTTTACTGATGTTCTCTTACACTTGGGTATCTGTATGTGTCGAGGGCTTTGAAATAACTATTGTAATCAATAGATCTTTCTTAAAATTCTGAAATCTCTTCGTCAAAGAAACCTTCATGTTTTAATGAAAGAAAGTTGTGACCACTGGTTTTATGGTGGCTAATAAGAAAAGGTGCTTCTAGGCAGGCATGGAGCCAGTGTGTTCAGATAAAGCATTACCAAAATGCAGTGCACTGATCGGACACAAAAGCTGCCTGCATCAGCATTTTCCCCTGACTGGTCCAATCAATCCGCTGGCCCATTTTTTGGGTCATTGCACCTTGTGTAGATTTTTTTTTTTTTTTTTTGTAGGCCACAGCCTCTTGACACCATTGAAATTAATTTGGAGCAGAAGCTAGCGGTGTCCTGCAAAAAAGAAAAGCACTCTCTCCCATCAGCATACCAATTGTTAACAATGGAGTACAGTCAAACCCGTTTATAGCGAACAGCAGGAAACGCTACGATGAGTTCGATATGGCAGAAACCACTTACAACGAACTTCCATGATGCGTGTGTCATAAGGCAAGAGCTTTTCTTTCTTTCTCATCTCTTCACTTCCGCCTTGTACCAACGCGCTGCAAAGATTTTTTTTTTTTTTTTTTTTTTTTTATGCGTGCAGAGTTTTTTTTTTTTTAGCTTATCTAGCCCCTTCTGAATCGCTTCTCTTCGTGAGCAAAAGCTTTGGGATGAAGTTTTTTTGTGTGTGTGCGTGCAGAGTGTATTTTTAGCTCTCTCCCCTCCTGAATCGCTTCTCTTCACTGAATTTTGTTCGTGACTTGAGCTTTTGAAATTTTCTTTCTTTCCTACTTCTTTTGGGGGGGGGGGGGAAGAAGGAAGGGAAGGGGGAAGGGAAGGGAAGAGGGGGGAGGGGATGAGAGGGACAAGCTAGAAGACGATTGTTGACACGTTTTTGGAAGCCTTTTCGGGGGGAAAAAGTTTGATATAGCCAATATGTTGTTCGTTATAAGAAGTACTTTTTACATGCATTTTTATTTAAATTTTCCGTGAGTTCGATATCGACAATAATTCGCTGTGCGTAAGTTCGTTTTAAACGGGTTTTACTGTATGTTCATTACCATCATTATGATGATAAACCACTTTTTTATGGTGCTAAAGACTGATATACTGTAAAACCCTTTATTTTCGCGGCCCCTATTTTTCGCGAATCGGTCACAGATGACATAATTGCGACCACTAAATTTCGCGAATTCCAGACGCCTGGATTGAAAATCTTAAGAACCGCAATTTTCGCTCGCCCTTAAATTTCGCGAATTCTTCAATTCGTGAAATTCGCGAAAATTGAGGGCTCGCGAACATTAAGGGTTTTACAGTATTTTAAAAGGGTCTTGTCTCACATCATCGCATCAATCTCTTTACTGTGTGTCACCAAAGGATCACTGCCATAATATATCCTTTACAGCCTTCGTTGTATAGTAATTCATTATCCAAAAATGACTGTACTCCCCCGCAATTAATGTGCCATCGAGCTACAGAGCTAACTCGGAATCAAGAAACGAAAGGATTGGTTGCACCGATGAGATGACAGGTAGGTATCTAAGCTCGAGGCATAAAAAGGAAAAAGGGTGAGGTGTCGGCATTTTTTCAACATTGCGCAGTGTCTGAATTCTTTACACCTTTATGTGTCCGCCGGACATTTTCAACTTAATTACGATATCGGAGCAAGAACTGCCACTCTGTCTGAAATGTTTTCTCCAAAAAGGAATGTATGCTATTGTACGAATGGTGAAGTTGTGACCAAACCATTTTTGTTCCTCATTATCGCCTCGCTGTTGAGCTGGCTCCTCATTTTCATTGTTTACAGTAACACGTAGGGAGGGGACCTCACGAAGACTCCACTAAGCGAGCAATGTGAATTCACGAGAAGATGAGTCAAGTTTGTAGCTGGAGCAGTGGGGGTAGCCTGGGGGAATAATCTGAGGGGATGCTAAAGCCCCGTGGTGTCCCCCCTCCCACCCGGCCCCTAATCTGGAGGGTCCTACTTTTATTGATTTATTTATTTACCCTAAAGGGCCCTTATGGGCATCACATAGAGGGGAAGTGATGGTAAAAAAAAACAAAAAACATGATTACATTGTTGGCATAAACAATGCTAAAGGAATGGTAAACCAATATAAATAAGGACACTTAGATGAAAACCCAATACAAAACAGAACTACATAATTTGATACTATTATTTTAAGAACTGATAAACGGGTGAAGCAATTAACGCAATTTCTCTGAGCAGGCTGTTTCATTCGGAGATGGCAAGAACCGGAGGGGGGTTTTTGAACAAGTTAGTGCGAGCAAAGATGGGTGATATTTTAAATTGATTATCTACGCGTGACGAAATATGATGGGCCGGCTGAATGAATGATGTGCTAAAAGGGGATGATCCATGATAGAGCTTGTGAAAAAAAGACATGTGAGCAATACCTATTCTGTACTGTAGTTGGGTTAGGTTGAGGTCACGTTTTATGTTGGAAAATCGGAAGAAGTCTCAGGATATAAATCTTGCAGCTTTATTTTAAAGTGCCTCGATATGGTTGGTTAAATGAATCCGATGAGTGTGCCATATGATGGATGCATACTCCAACTGTGACCTCAAGAGGGTAGTATAAGCGAGGAGCTTTGTTTCTTTGTTAGCTTGAAATAAAGAGTGTTTAAGGAAACCAAGAGTTCTGGAGGCTTCGTGGGTTATGTGTTTAATATGTTCAATACTTGGGACAGTCAGCTCCCTGTGGAAGACATGAGCTTTTTGTCAGCTGAGAAGATTGCACGAGGACTTGATGATGTTGGATGTCCACAGCTCTCTAGCCCTGATGGTGATCTTTTTGGGACTGAGACAACACCCCAGGGCCAGCCCTACAGTAGCTGCGTTCAACTTACCTACACCTCCTGCACGGGTGCAGAAAAGTCTAGGGTGGTGTACTTCCAGTCGTATTTGAATACACATACTCGAAGTACATTGTCCTACACTTTTCTGCACCGGTGCATAGGTGTAGGTAAATCGAATGCAGCGAACTCTGGCTTTTTTTGTCAGACGAGATTTGCATTCCAAGCACGGGTTGGGTGCCGTGTTTAAATTAATTAAAAAGAAAAAAAAAAAATTGAGGTACATACACCTAAGCACTTCTTATGAGTTGTGAATGCGAAAGCATGTACATTAATATTATATTGCAATTAAATCCAAAGATGCAAGCGAGCTGGACAAGAATGACGAAAATAATCCCTAGAGAAGGGGAACACGCGTGTTGGTGCGCAGACTGGCGTGAACTTGGCGCTGCGTCTGGCAAATGGGATTCTGGTCGACGCGCGCTAGCCAGTGGGATCGAAGCAGTGTAAAAGGTGCCATGGCTAACCGGCAAATGGGAGCTGGCTTGACTTGGAAAAGGATTTAAGAGCTGTTTGGCGTGGTTTCAAAACTAATGACGTCGGCTCGCTTTTAAAAATTCAAAGGGGAGCTCGCTGGTACCCCCTTTTGATGGCACCATGGGGGACCGCCCAGGTTGCCACCCCTGTAGACCATTTCCATAGGAAGAGCGTAGAGAGAAAAATACTCTTGCCCTGCATGTCGTCTGCTCCGCCGAGTGGGCTGATGTGCAATGCGAACTCAATTTAAAATCGTGTCATTTAGGAAATTTCAAGCGCAAATGCGTGGATTTTGATGTGCAAGTTATTGTGTAATGCCATGTCTGATAAATAGACTAACTGGGTCCAATTGTGCTGTTCCCTGCTATGAAAATAAAAAAATGTGAAGACTATGTCAGAGTGATCAGTCTGTCCCCTCCGGCAAAAAGTAAGTCCGGTTGCTGTAGCTTTTCTTACTACATAAAGCTTGTACTAGTGTAGGCCTTTGCGAAAAGGGGTGGGGAGTCTGGAATAAATAAATAAATAAAAACGTGCTCCCCTGAGACAATAGACGCAGTGGTTGAGGGTGGTACTGCCAGTTGACGCCACTGCTATTGAAGTAATGGAACAAAGATAGGCTAGCTCAGTGGTTCCGAATCATTGATGATTCGTGGACCCCTTGTGGATCGGCAGATATCATGGAGGACCCAGTTTGTGGTGAGGGGAAGAGAAAGGTTTAGGTTAATTGTGATAATTATTCAATAAATAAATAAAACTGAGAACTAGTGTGAAGTAGACTGATTGACATACACACGAAAAAACTCGCCCGAAAATTGGAATGTTTCATGTCAATATGAAAAAAAATGCAACTTTAATTGCCGGGCTTGACTGATGAGGCAGAGCTTCGTTGGCCTCTAGAATGCCTTTGCGGACCCCAATTTGTGAACCATTGGGCTAGCTGATCAGTTACTGAAATAAAGCAGCAGAGCACTATAGGCTGCAGTTTCTGGAGTACCCATAAATATTCTAGAGACACA